CTCTCTTCCCAAGAGACAAAATCTTTCTCTATTGCTCCCTCCTCCATTTCCTGAGATCTCTGAGACTGCCTTCTCCTCTATACCTCCTTTTGGGAAATAACAAGAAGAAAATAAGAGGAGGCTGGAGATCTTTCGGAGAGCTTTCCAGAGGAGAGGAAATACAGGCATTTAGGAGGGAAAGATGAAAGGCAAGAAGAGGTGAGATATTGGGAGGTAGGGGTGAGAGGAAGAAGAGGCCATTCTTTACCTTCCTTGTCCATGGGGGTGGACTGGGCTCTCTGCTACTCCGTTCAGATCACAAAAACCAGGTGAAGATAAAACAAAGGGGGTGGTGAGTGGGGTGGGGGAACAAAGCACAGCCCCTTGTCTTCCCTTTCCCAGAACTCCAGAGCCCGTTGGTTGCCTGGTCTCTCCCCCCTTCCCTCCTCCCACTAATCCCCAAATCCCCGCCCAGAACCGAGCCTCCTCTCCTGGGCCCTGGAGAAGTACTGACTTCCTGCTATGCCGTCGTTAACCTGAAAGTTTGGTTAAAGAAGGCAAACAAGTTAGGTGATACATGATTATATAGTTTATTCCCTTTCAGCTAGCGAATCATGTTAACATGGAAGCCAGAATGTGATTCTGACTCGGAGATTAAGCAAAATGAGAGAGGTTTTATACAGTTTAGAGTGATCAGACTCAGGATGTCTGTGTTACAAAAAAAAAGGTATAGCCTCCATATGTTTCTTAACATACAGCATTAAAAAAAAGGAAGTTACTTAATTGCATAGATTGTAAATACAATAGAAGGATGTCAAAGTATCAATAAAAATTATAGATCCAGGGGGCAGCTAGGTGGCACAGTACATAGAGCTCTGGTCTTGGAGTCAGGAGGACCTGAGTTCAAATCCAGCCTCAGACACTTAACACTTACTAGCTGTGTGACCCTGGGCAAGTCACTGATTGCCTTACAAAAAAAAAAAGGAAAAAAAATTATAGATCCAGGATATGTGTTTCTTCTACGTAACATATGTCTGTAGGATACAAAAGAAGGAAAAGTCTCATTGATCAAGAGAGTGTCTGGTCCCAGATATCCTGGGCTCAGTGAAGAAGAACAGGAAGAATGTTGGTGAGCTCCACCTGGTCCTGAAATTTGCTGACACAGGAAGGGGTGTTTTTAGTTCACTCAGAGAGAAAAAGATTAATTCAGGTCTTTGGCCCTTATTGGGGCTCAATTGATCTGAAATGATTATCACTGTATAGTCATTGTCTCCTCTCCACTTTCAAATGAAGGCTCCAGATCTTTCCTCCCACAGTTTTTCCCTGGACCATCCCTCCCTTCTCCACACATAGGGGACGCTAATAGTGTTTCAGTGTGTACATGAAAACGGGATGGAGGCAGGTAAGTATGCGTCTTTTAAGTGTGTATATGTCAGAAAAGGAGTTCTCTTTTGTAAATTTTGAGGACTATCTGTGTTTGGAGTTGAATTATTCTGATTTTTGAGATGATGAGAACCTTGTCGATAACCATTCCATTCCTTATAGGTCTATTGTCTCTCAGAGCTAGAAGGCACCCAACAAATCACCTAGCCCACTTGGATGAGATCCAAGCAGGAATCACCAACATGTGATTCACTCCATCCAGAAGCAGCTCATCCCTCTTTGGAACAGTTTTAATTGTTAGTTTTGCTTCTTGTATCAAGGTCAGATCTGCCTATCTACGATTTCTACCCATCACTTCTTTTTCTGCCCTCAGGAGCCAAGCAGAAAAAGCTTAATACTGCTTCCACATGACAGTCTTTCAAAACACTTGAAGACAACCCTCAAGCCCTGTCCTACACCGTACCCCTAAGTCTTCTCTTCTCCAGGTTAAAATATTTCTAGTTCTTTCAAAGATCCATAGATGACACATTTTCTTTTTTTTTTAATTAACCAAAATCCCCTTTACTTCTCTCCCCCTTTTCTCTTTCTTCCTTCCCCACCAATTGAAAACAGAAAGAAAAATAAGACCCTTTTGTAAAACAAATATACATAATCAATTCCTGTGCTGACCATGTGCAACCCAAGGGCACCCCACTAGAGATCCCCCTTCATATTGTATTCCCTTGATTGTGAAAAGGAGGGAGAGAGAAATGGGCTCTTAATTTTTTTTTTTGTTATGGACCCGTTTGGCAGTCTGGTGAAAACTATGAACCCCTTTGCAGGATGTTTTTAGATGCATAAAATAAAAAAAATAGGATAACAAAAGAAATCAATTATATTGAAAATGATCAAGATAAAAACAACAGCAGCAGCAGCTAGTTCACAGACTCCATGTTAAGGGCCCCTGCTCTAGAGCCAAAAGGGGCATCTGAGGTCATCTGTCCAATCTTCCCCTTTTACAACTCAGAAAACTAGGACCCAAGGCACAGGAAGTTTCCCAATTGGCTAAGAGTGTGCCTAGGATTGAATGTAACCAGAGTGTCAAAGTCCATTTTTGTATAAAGGTCTCATTGATAGAGATTAATTAACCAATGTTCCAAGCCTGCATATGAGGGCAAGAACTTGAGAGGAGAGGAAGAGAGGAGAGAAGAGAGAAGAAGGTGAGAGGAGGGGAAAGATAGAGAGAAGGGAAATAGAGAGGTAGAAGAGGAGGAGGGAAGAACAGACAAGAGTGCTGAGGGACGGAGGAAGGAGAAAAAGGAAGGAGAAAGAGGAAAGTGGAGAGAGAAACAGAGAAAGAGACAGAGAGACAGAGAAAGAAACAAAGGAGGAGGAGAGACAGAAATGGGGAAGAATGAACTGGGGAGAGAGAGGGAAGAAGGAAAAGAGGAGAAAGGAAGAGAGAGACTCATACAAAAAGGCTTTAAGAAGAACCAAATCAATCGGTTCATTCTAGAGAGCCTAAATTAGGCAATCCCAAAACAAGTTTGAAGAAAGCTCTGAAAAGCTTTGATCCTGTTTGGGCAGGAGAGGAACCAACAAGCTAGCATGGAACCTGGGAAGGCTTGTGTGAACTGATACAGAGTGAAGTGAGTAGAACCCAGAGAACAATTTATATAATAACATGGTAATGAAAAACAGCTTTGAAAGATTTGAGAATTTTCATCAATGAAACGAGCAACCGTGATTCCAGACAAGTAATGATGAAGAATGCTACCCACCTTGGGATAGACTCAAGATGCAGAATAAGATAAGCCTTTTTTTGGATGTGGCTAACACAGGGGTTTACTGCTTGGTTATGCATATATATTGTAAGAATTTGCTTTTCTTCTTTTCAATGTGTGAAGGGAAAGAGTGAGAAAGGGGCTGGGGATAGAGTTCCCCCCTCCTGACAAAAACAGAAAGGAACAGAAGACCAGAAGGAATCTTAGACAAGAAGGGCAACTTTGTAAAAGGTTGTTATTGTCATTGTGTCAGAGTCTTTTGTGACCCCTTTTAGGGTTTTCTTTGCAAAAATATTGGAGTGGTTTGCCATCTAAGTGTCTGAGGTCACATTTGAACTCAGATCTTCCTGCTTTTAGGCCCAGCAAGCTATCCACTGCACTAGCTAGGTGCCCCTTTGTAAAAGTCACACGTTTAATTTATTATATGCTTAAGTGAAGTAAGTTCTATATAATAGAGATTTGAAATTTCATGTATAATCTTCTGTTCTACAATGTACGTGCAAATGCTTGTTTTATTTGGTGTTTGTTAAATTCAAAATCAAAAACAAAGTGAAATTTTGAAAAAGAAGCCAGAGAGAAATTCGTTATCGATTAGAGCATCTGGTTACAAGTGGCCACTGCTTCACAAGTGGGTGGGGAAGGGTGGGGAGGTGTTAATTAGGGATGGAGTGCAGTAGATCTCAGAACCCAGGGACCAGGAAAGAGCCAGAAGGGTCAATGCCTCAAGCTGAAGTTCAATGATCAGTGAATCTTCCTAAGTCTTGGGTCTGCTGGCAAAGGTCCTTAGCCTGGTTTCAAGTAGAGCTGAGGGTGGACATTCTGACTTGTTGATTTAGGTCAGGGACTGGATCTTTCATTTATGTAAGCTAGAAATGCTGGAAAGTCTTTTTCTGGTCTTTCCTCCTTATCTAGACTTGATGCCCAATCATTCTTCACCACCACCACCCAAATCCTATCTCCAGCAGGTCAGGACCATTTGCTGCACTGGGATGGTTCATATTGACTCCCAATTTTTCTCCTCCCTTAATCTTATTTCATCCCCCTCCTCCCTGCCACTATGACTGTCACAGTCTATTTCTCTTTCCCACAAGGTCATAGACCACAAACAGGTTCTGACTCAATAACTTCCTTTTTTTGCAAATTTCCTCTTCGCATGTCAACACTCCCCCAGAAGTTTCTTGCCTACATACCCATTCACCACAGACTGAGCTGGGTTGGGTTAGGCTAAGCTGGACTCTCTTAGGATGGGCTTTGGGCTTTGGACTTTAGCCTTTGGACCAACCTGGATTAGACTGAACTTAGCTAGGGCCAAAGTGGCAAGACCAGCCTAAACAGCCAGACTCCATTTTTTTTTCAAATGTATCATTCTTCTGCCTGTCCCCTGAACTGAGGAAGGAAGCTCCAGGTTCCTCAAACCTAGTCTGACTTCCCTATTGTGGTCACAGTTTACTCTCCTAGACTAAGACAGTCACTTAGGAATACATACATGCTTGACTACGAATAGGAAGCTCAGTCAGCGGTGACAGATGAAGTCCAGCCCAAGTGGCTAGTGGGAGTTTAGGGGTGCAGCCAGGTCACCAGGCAAGAAGGCTCAAGTACCCAGAATGGAGTCTTGGTTTTAGGGTTTCTGTCATGTCCAACTTTGACTGAGTCCAAGTTTTACAGAACAAATGCTTTTATTAAGGTGATTTGTTCTGTGAAGTTTGGATTCAGACAAAGGGACACACTTGAGTTCCTAAAGGGCCACATGTGACCTCAAAGCCAAAGGTTCCCCACCCCTGGTTAAGGGAATAAACTGCTTTGGAAAAGTGATCAAAGAAACTTCTGGGATGAAATAATAATTGAATAAATAATAATACAGACACACAACACACATTTTACCTTTTTAAATAAACTCTTGTATTCTTTATTGGACCAGAAATAAGAGACATCCATTCCTCTGTCATCTCCTCCCACTCTACAGCTATGAGAGGTAATGCTCACCTCATTCCTTACTCCATTTCCCTGCACTCCAGATCTCCCTCCCTCCCAGTAACTTTATCAACATTCTCTCTGTACCATCCCTCTCCACTATCTTTCCAGGGTTCTTCGTGGTGCTCATCCTGTCCCTCCACCCCCACCCCCACCCCCATCCCCCAGAGCTCTTGGGAAGAAACTCTTCAGTACAGACCTTCCAGGGACAGTATGATGTGGATTCCCACATCCCTAAGCCCCCTGGGGAATATTCAACAAGGCCTAAGACCTCTTTAGAGCTCTGGTGCCTGTAAATATCAATCAATTAACAAGAATTTATTAAAAATAGACTAAATGAACTACTGAGAGGCAGCACAGCACAGCATGTTAGAAAGCGAGCTGCTCTCAAAGCCAGGAATATTTGGGTTTAAATCCTACCTATGACACGTGTGTGTGTGTGTGTGTGTGATTCAGGCAAGTCATTCAACATCTAGCAAATCTCTAAGACAACACATTGCAGAGAAGGTGCTTTTGTAGAGGCATGAGCCTCCCTAGGAGTTTCTGTATCAATGAAATCAGTGGTCTGGTCACTATTCCTATTGCTATCCCTATCCCTACTAAGGGCCAGATGCCAAGACTACACAGACAAAAATGAAATAGTCCCTGCCTTCAATGAGCTTACATTCTAAAAAACGGAGACACAGGCAAATACAAAATCTGTATACAAACACGAGGTGATTTGGCTCTAGTTGAAGAGGCACCAACAGCTTTGGGGATCAGAAAAAGCTCCATGTGGGAAGTTTTATTGAAATGATGGATTCTAAAAGTGTGTTGAGAAGGTAAGGCATTCCAGGCAACCCCAGAAGGGCTGCCAGTGCAAAGGCACAGAGATGAGAGATACAATTAGGTCTGTGAGGAACAAGTAAGTTAGCAAGTAATGTGAAATGTGTGGAGAGCTGGGCTGGAAGCTGGTTTATGAAGCTACCTCAGGTATGGCTTGAGCCAGTCCTGGGTCAGCCTCATTAGAATAAAAATTAGCAGTTGGGCTGGTCATTAACTAGGCCAATGAATCAGGGAATCAAGAAGGTATGGGGGCAGGTTCTGTCAGAGATGCAGGGGCTATGTCAGTGTTCCAGTGGGAACAAACGTCCTGAGCTGAAGCACAGGTGATGGCTCTTATGGTAGACCCTGGAGGAGTCTTTTTGGGCAAATCCATGACATGAGTTTGTCAAAATATCTTTTTCTTAAAAATCAGGCAGTCCGGAAATTTCACTTCATCTGGATCTCACTAGAGACACCCTGTGTTTCCCAGACAATACTCAGTGACTGTAATGGTGAAGAGAAAGATGATGAAAATGATGGTCATGGAGAAGATGAAGGTAGAGAGAATGGAGATAATGATGACAAAATAAAAAAAGCAGGTAAGATGATTGAAAGAGTTGATAAAGAATGGGGAAGTTAAATTCCTTGAGGGAATTCTATCTCACACTTGCATCACAGTGCCTAGCACTGGGCCTGGAACACTTTAATAAAGGATTGTTTACTGATTGATGATCCTGGCCCCTTCACACGTTGGTCACTGGGGCCGAGGGCAAGTTCCCATCTCCTGCTCCTGACCCATCAGCACCTGAGCCACCAGCTTCAGGGGGCTTTACAACTCCATTCACGTTTTCCACAAGGGGTTCACTTTCATCTTTGAGGTTGTTGGTGGCTGTCCCAGCCTCCAGGTCCTCCAGCATCACAGAACCCTGTCTAGACTTCCTCTTGCCAAAGAAGGTGGTGAGTGTGGGCCTACGGCCAGTCCCCTCCCCTTCAACGTTCCCTGTGCCTCCTTCCACTGCTGCTGACCCAGATGCAGCCTGCTCCTCTGTGACCTGAACTGGTCCAGCCCAAGCACCCCCAGCTCCTTTATGTTTCCCGCTCCCCACAAGCATCAGAGCCCCTGTCCTTCTCTTTTGCCGCCGCCGCCACAGCAAGAACAGGACTACCACGAGAGTCGCCACCAGGACCACCACAATCAGGATTACCAGCAGGGTGTTATCTCCATCCTGTTTCAATTTGTTTGGAGGAGACTCATTTGTCAGTGAGACGGAAGACGTGGAGGTGGTCTGCGGCAGTTGGAAACTCGTCACGGCGGAGGTGGTCATGTAGGCTGAAATAACCTTGGAGTAGGCTGTTTCTTTAATGACCAGGGTGGTGGTCTCTTGGTCTGCGATGTCAGCCTTCTCCTTCTTTATGGGGGTATCCGAGGGAGGGTGTATGGAGGAGGCAGTTGTTACCACGGCAACTGCATCTGAGACACTGGCAGCCAGAGTGGATGTATGTGTGGCCAGTTCCTGGGTGCTCCTGGGGTTTTCCTTATCCACTTGGGTCGGCCCAGAGGCTGGGGGAGCCCAAGTGGTGGCAGATGCCACCTCAGTAGTAGAAGCATAGCTATCCCTGGCCACTGCTGACAAGAATGTCAAAGCTCTGGCTTCCGGGGCTGGAGAGGACATGGGGACCATACCTGATTCTGAGGTTGGTAAGGACGTAATTTCCAGGGCTAAGTGAGAGGTTGAGAAGCTCGGATCTGAGGAAGAGGCTTGCGTAGACATTGTATTCGGGACCTGGGAGTCAGTGGTGGCTGTTGAGTTTGTTGAGGCCCACTCAGGGAGGATGAGGAGGAGCAACAGAGACAGAGGGGACACCATCACCATGACAACAGGTAGGCTCTCCCAAGGACCCAGAAAGGTTCAGGGGTATCTGGGAGTCAAGACCTGTGAGGAGACAGACAAGGAGCGATCTGCAGAGGCCAGATCATCCTCCCTATTCTGCCCACACCCCCATCAGCTGCCAGGTTGGGCTTGTGGTTTAACGGCTTTTTCCAGCCTCAGAAATAAGAAGGGTGGAGATGCCCAGCATGAATGCCCTCCCACTCACTGAGTGCCTCTAGAGCTGGCTCTCCCTAGGAACCCCTTCTCCAGTTTTAGACTCAGTGACCAATGAAGCCCTTGAGCCCCAATCCCCAACCCTCCTATTATCCTCTTGGGTAAGGACTCTCCACTACCTCTGCTCCAATTTGCCCTGCTCCCTACTCCTTATCTTGAAGGATGCTCCTAGCCTCAGCCTTGCCCAGGGCTGCCCTGGCTCCAGTCATAGCCCCGACCTTGACCCAGCTTCATTCTTACCTGCAGTTGGAGACTCTCACAGCTATAGTTAGAGATCCTGAGGGGAGCCTGGTAGTCCGTCTCGAGTTCAGAGCCCTTCTCAAACTAAGACAGGACTTAGCTTGGGGCCCCCCTACAAGGGAAGTAAGTGGCCCTCGCTCCACCCCTTGGGGCCCCTCCCTTGCAACATCCTGCATCTCAGTGGTGAAAGTGTAAGGAAGGCAGTCCCACAGTTTAACTTCTCCTCATCTGCTAATGTAGCTGGAGGTGGGTATTCCTGGGTCTAAGTTGAGGAGATATTTGGATATCAGCTAAAAGACTGGTATGCCTAGGTCTGAATTGGTGGCGAATCTTGGGTCACATGTTGGGAAATGCGGCCTGAACTGGAATAAAAATTGCCTATTTCAAAGCTGAAGGACTTATTGGGAAGAGGCAGGATCATTAATCTAGAATTGGAAGAGATCTCAGAGGCCTTCCAGTCTAAGCTCCTTATTTTACAGACAAAGACACTGAGGCCCAAAGAGGTTCAGTGACCTGCCCAAGGACACACATGTAGCAAGTGTCAAAGACAGGACTTATAAACCAAGTCCTCTAACGACAAAGCCAGGACCACCTCCACTGTACCAGGCTAGTCTGGATCTGAGATGACTGGACCTCTGCTAAGGACCAAAGTGATGAAGGCTTCAGTAACTCCGTCTGCAGTGGGACAGAGGGCTGAGCCCACCTAGGTGAGACTGGGGTATAGAGAGGAAAGGCAGGGAGGGCTATTTCCTGTGTTTGTGGTCCTTGCCCCACTGCTTATAAGCCACATCCTCCCCTGGGGCTTTCCTCAGCCCTTGATCCCAGATCCTACAGAAAACAAGGGACATGTTAGTTCCTCCCCACCAGGAACCGCTTTCCTTTGAAACAAGAATCAGGAGACAAATAGGTGGTGCAGTTGATATAGCACCAGCCCTGGAGTCAGGAGGATCTGAGTTCAAATCTGACCTCGGACATATAACACTCTCTAGCTATGTGACTCTGGGCAAGTCACTTAAACCCCATTGCCTCACCAAAAAAAAAAATAATAATAACAACAATAATCTGGGGGCAGCCTCAGAGAGGAACATAAGCTGAACCCCAGCTACCACCAGGTACTCTAGTCAGCTGGATTTGGATTCAGAGGTCCTGGGTTCAAGTCCTGATTTTACCACTTATTACTTGTGTGCCACCAGGCAAGTCACTTAATCTGTAAAATAAGGGAATTGGGCTAGATAATCTCAAAAGTCACTTCTGGCTATAAATCTATGATCCTGTGAGTGCAGGAGTTAACAGATCCTGATGTGAGCCCAGCAATGAGCAGGCTGAGGGAACCAGGCCCCAGGTGTTGAGAAGAGGGAACATAAGGTCTAGTCCCCACTCTATCCCTAACTTACTGTGTGACCTTAGCTTCTCTGAGCTTCAGAGTTTCCTATAAAAGTGGGACAATACTTGTACTACCTATCTCACAGGGAAACCAATTTGTAAAATCTTAAAACTATATGTTATTACAGTATGTTCTATTATCACTACTAACCTTCAGTTCTACAACTTCTCCATCTCCATATAGGATGGAACTGAGTAACCAAAACTGCTGTGGATAAATAGGAGGGAAGCCAAAGCCTCCAAACTGCTCAGGCCAGACTACAAGTGCTGCTTCCTTCTGTGGTTGAACTGGGGCAAACTTGCATTCAATTTAATCCAAGGAACCCAGTATGTGATGTGGTCCTTGTGGTCCTGACATTGGGAGTTCACAGTCTGGAGACATGAGACATACTGCACACCACTTGAAGAAAATACCCCTCAGGGTAGGCTAGGTGGTACAGTGAATAGAGCTGTGGGCTTGGAGTCAGGAGGACCTGAGTTTAAATCCAGCCAGACACTTGACACTTAGTAGCTATGTGACCTTGGGCAAATCACTTAACCCCAATTGCCTCAACAAAAAAAAAAAGAAAGAAAACATCCCTTAGTGCCTGAACCTTGGAATGTCAGAACTGGTCTCACCCCATTTTAGTAAGGGGTACAGTGGGACCCAGAGGAGGGAAGGGATTTACCTAAGGTCATACACTGAACTGAGTCAGAAGTAAATTGGGAAATACTGTAGGACACTGGTTCTCAACATCCGGATCTTTGGGAATGGAAGGGAGAAAGGGAAGGGCTGATTACTGCAGAGAGGTTCATTGAATCAAATGACTCAGTATAACAAACTAAGCCAGGGGTAGGGAACCTGTGGCCTCAAGGCCACATATGTGCCTCTAGGTTCTCAAGTGTGGCCCTCTGACTGAATCAAGTAAACAGACCTTCAGTAGATTACATACATATTATAATGTTACTATTTTTCAAATCTATGCAGAAGTTATTGTAATAAAATACAATTTCATTTTAAAATTTGGCTGAATTTAAAGTAGCCTTTTGTCATTACATACACTCTCAAACACGAGGTATTAATGGTGCAGGTACAATCACCTGAATGGCTGTGCGGGCTGGGGCATATCCCAGAAATGTTGGATGTCAAAAACAGGTCTCTATAACCATTTTCTTATGATAAAAAGTTTAAGTACTGTAGAAAACAGAGCTCACTTAGAGATGCAGTATCAAAGACTGGCTTGTGGGAAAGGCATATTTTGTTCACAAATTGATGGCTGTTTCCCAGCAAAGAAGTGTTAGATAGCTGTTGATTAGGTAAGAATGTGGCTGTCCATTAAGGAGGCTTCCTGATTGGCTGAGGAGGAGCCTGGAATATTTAGAGTGAACCAAGAGATTCAATCCCAAGAGCCTAAAGGGGGAATCTTCTGAGATAGACAATGATTCTCCTAGGGGCCCATGGCCAAGAAGGCACAAGCTAGATAGATATAAACACCTTATAAATACCCAGTCTGGGATTGGGCAGACCTTTTCTAATGACATCTAATGTCATTGCTCTGGTGGATTATTTCTGAACTTCTGTTCTTCCTCCTTGTAAGCAGTACATCCTTGAAAATTTCCCCTTTGTGAGATAAGAGTGTAAGGGCAGGATTAGAGGATGGGGTGAACGGAGAAGTGAAGAGCAGAAACTAGGCCAAGACATCCAGTTCCAGTGAAAGATCTCTGAACCCAGGGCCCAAGCCAGTTCAGAATTTGTGAAGGTTATAGGATACTCAGGCTCTAAAGAGTTTACCTAGAAAGTAAGCTTCCCTGCTGTGTGTATGACTCAATACTACCATTTTTGAAAAGCATTTTGAAATTATGCAAATAAAGTGACTAAAATATCCATACCCTTTAACCCAGAGATTATATTTTTAGGCTTATACCTGAAGGAAGTCAATTGAGTTAAATACTTATAGCAGCACTTTTTGTGAGAGCAAAGAATTGGAAACAAAGTAGATTGAGGAACAGTTAAACAAATTATGATACGTGAATGTACTGTGCCATAAGAAATGATGAATGTGGTAGCATGCAAAGATCTACATGAACTGATGCAGTGAAGTGAGCAGAGCCAAGAAAACAGTATACATAGTGACTCTGAGTGGAAAGAAGAGCCACACAAAAAAAGCATATACTGCAAAGTTACAGAGAGCAAGCCTGACTCAAAATAAGAAACAGAAGACACCTCCCTCCCCCTTTACAAAAGTAGGAGGTCCACAAGTGTGCAATGCACACATTTTCTGCTATGTATTGATCAGTTATGCTGATCAGTTATCCTCCTTAGCTCTTTCTGTCTTTAAAAAATATTTGTTACACGACATAGCTTTCTGACAAAGGGAATGATATTCTGTTATTTCGGTGACACAGAAAACCAAAGATATCAATAAAAACTTTTTAAAAGAAAGTTTGCTGAAGGCAAGGATAGGCTCATTTTTTAATCTTTGTATTTACAATGCCTAGCACAGGGTGGACACTTGTTGGTTAACTGGGGGTTCAGTGATAAAGAAAATATAGCTATGATAACTAGCAAAAATCCTGGAGCTGAAGGCATGATTCAAGGACCAGTGGGAAGCTAAGCTTATAGATAGGTCTTTTACAGCCTCATACACCCTAGCTGGCTTGCCCAACCTTGTCAATGTCCTCAACCCCAAAATTATCCTTCCCCACCCTTCTTGGTTTTTTTCCCATAAGAACATTGTGCTTAACTACAAAGTCTGAACCAAGGGTCCTAAGGTATAGAAACTTACAACAATTTTATATATGAGAGTAGGGGGATATATTGCAAAGAGGTCCTGTGGAATGGTTAACATAACCTATTGCCAATGGTGAATTTTCAGGCTTAGGGACTGGGTTGGTCTGGGATTTTTTTTTTTGAAGGGCAACTACAGGCTTGTGGTAATGGTAGTATCCAACCTTCCCAGTTTATCAACCTTGGAATCATCATGTACCACCTCTCCCTCTCCCTCTCCCCCAACATCCAATCAACTACTCCATCTTATCAGTTTTCCACATCAATCCATACTTCATCCCCTTTCACCTATACCGAAATAGCCTCCCAACTGGTCCCTACATCCCCCGTATAGCTACCAATTCAATCTTCCTCAGACCACGTTCCTTATTGCTCTGTTCTCAATGCTACAGTGGTTCTCTCCCACTTTAGTCCTGATCGATATCTGAGCACTGGACCCAGATGGCTCTGGAGGAGAAAGTGAGGCTGGTGACTGTGCACACTCCTCTCACTCAAATAAAATTCAATTGCAAATCATGTCATCATCTCCCTAATATCATGGTCCTCTTTGAGAACAAAGGACAAACTCCTCAATCAGGCATTTAAAGCCCTTCACAATACAGCCCCAGACTAACTTTCCACACTTACTTGGCATTAATTACTCTTGCTCACTACGCCTACTTGCCATTCCCCAAACACAAATTCCACCTCATACAGCCCCATACTGCAGATGGGACATCCTCAGTCCTTACCTCCTGGAATCCAGAATTCTCTTTAAGGTTGAGCTCAAGTGCCAACTATAAGGACTTTGCTGATCCTCCCCAATTACATTGTATAGCTGTTGTATTTATTTGTGTGATGGCATATCCCCCAGAAGAATATAAGTTCTTTTAAAGGCAAAGACTTCTTCACTTAATGATTGCATAACTGATCACCACCTGGTGGGCTAGCTGACCCTGAAAGGAATTGAGGCCTCATCACAGCTGGAGGTGAAAGGAGGAGGGAGGCAGACACCCCGACATCTCCAGAAAGCAGGAGGCCCCTGGACCCAAAAGAGCACCATGGCATTATTTCACCATTTTCTGACCAAGGGAAGAGGAAAATGAAGGAAACTGACTGGAAGCATCAGGTCCAACTCTTCCAGGGACTTATAAGAGTAACATTGGGTTCTCTGCTCTGGGCCCTTTTCTCTGATCTATAAAAGGAGGGAATTGGCCTGGTTTAGGTCAATGAGGCCACTTTCAAATCTAACATTCAATGTTCTAGGGTTCTTTCCTCCCCATACTCACCCTCCACCTGTCCTAGTCTTCTATATCTGACCCAAATTAAGGTAAGAAGAATGGAAAAAAAAACCAATTCCCTTGACAAAGCATCTTAAAGTGTTACAATAAGTCACATTTCTTAAGCACTTTAAGGTTTACAAAGTGCATTCCCCACAACAACCCTGTGAGGTAGGTAGTATGATTATCCCCATTTTATTATAAGGAGAATGAGGCTCAGGGAAGAAACTAGAATTAGGCAGGTCTATAGCCATGCAGTTTGAAATTCAAACCCAGGTATCCTCACTCAAGCTCAGGCCTCCCTCATGGGATCCTTCAACATGGAACTAGATCCAGGTTCACAGATGTGGACACAGGCCCAGAGAGGAGGAAGTCATATATATACATGCTCATGGTCACATACTGGTCAGTAGCAATGTCAGAATAGAACTCCTGGGAGGACAGGGATCTTTCTGGAGGGCCAGTCCCAGCAAGGACCATTCCATCCATTTCATGGGAGGCCTGATCTAGGGGAGTAGAGAAGGGAAAACGAGGAGAGGGGAGGCCCAGCATGGACCAGGATATTGTCATTTAGGAACAGAGGCCCATTCTGACCAGCCTGAGGCAGTAGCACCTCTCTAGGGTGAAGAGCAAAGGGACCTCAGGCTGTTTGTGCAGCTATGCCCTCTCCCTTTCCCCCACATTGGACACCCCTTTTACACAACTAGAGATCTTTATTTAGACAGGAAATGGTGCCCCCCCCAACTGGTACCATTCCCCTCCACCCCAACTAAGGTCTATACAAGCCCGAGACTAAGCCCAGGCCCTCTTCCCAAAAGCACAGCCTGGAAGTGGTTGCCGTAGCCTCTTCCTCTCCCCAAAAAATAAAAACAGGTTCAGAAATAGAGACCGAAATCTATGCGTTTGGAGTTGTAGAACTGGCCTTCAGGGGGATCCATCTTCCGGCAATAAACACCATCTGGGAAATAGCCTTCATCTGCCCAGGCCTAGGGGTAAAAGGAAAGAAGAGAGGTGTGTGGGGGTATTGGTAGTAATATACCTAGGTAGGGTTTAGGGAGAGAGAGAACCCTTACCTGCATCTGGGCACTGGTGAAGGGCCCATAGAGTTCTGCATCACTTGTGTTTTCCCATTTATATTCCCACATCACATCAGCCAAGCCATCTCCCATGGCAGCTGCTTCTAGAAAGACAACCGAAGAAGACCTTCTCAGGTACACTGCCCTGTTCCCTCTGAGCTTAAGGTCACCCCACCCCACCTGTCATCCTACACATAACCTGTCTCTGGCTCCCCTTGTTATCCTATCACACTTCATCTCCCCAAACATACTCAAATCCCATCCATCCATAGATCCCAGACTTGCCCCACTCAGCTCTGCCCCTCACACCCCCACCTGCTCCCCACATTCTCTCCAAATGGGTTCCCAGTTTCCTTCTGCTATCTTTTCAGGATCTATATCCTTCCAAGTCTCCATATCCCTAAAAGGAATCTATAGTCCCAAGCTTCCAACCCTCACCTCCTCCTTGGGCTGGGGTTGGGGTCTCCAGCTCCCCCTCCCCAACCTCTTCAGCAAACATGTCCAGGACAGGACGAGATGCTGTGTCAGGCAGCCCTGGTGTGCGGCCCCCCAGTGCTTTCAGCCTCACAGCAAGCCGTTCCCTGGTCTCCTGGTACACTCCATGGTTGCCCCGGGCAACCATCTGGTCAGCCAATCCTGAGAGTCGGTCTAATCGCTGTGGGGAATTTGGTCGCTGGGGTCCTTCACCACCCTTCCGGGCACCCAGACGCCTCAGTGCCCCAGCAACTGTCTCCCCCGGCAACAGCATCTCCAAGAGACCCTCTAGGAGGGCCTGAGGGCCCAGTGGAGTCTGGCCAGGGCTGTCATCCTCTGAATCTGAGGCAGGGGGCTGGCCTGGAGGGCGCTCCCGGATCTTCACCTGAGATAAGATAGGACAGGTTATTTTCTTAAACGTTTTGGCCTTTTCCCTCCCAGGATCCAAATATACCGCTCCCTAGTCCCTGCCCCCAGTCCAGGCACCCCCACCTCTGAGTCTTGGTCTGAAACCCATTTCACAAATGAAATATATCACTGCCCATCCAGGACCCAAGTCGCCCAGCCTAGGGGCCCTGACCCAGTCAATGTTGTCCAGCCAGCTGTCCCGAATCTGGGAGTCCCGGTGCAGAAAATAGTTGCCATCTGAATCAAAATGGCCCTCTTCCATCTCCTCCTGCAGGTTGAAGGGTGTGATACGAACACCACCCTCACTTGGGAGTGTGGCCGCCTCCTGACCTGGATGAATGGATACCCAGAATTGTGCAAGAACAGGGGAAGCAATATCTAAATCCTATTGCCTTGTCACTTCTTTGCTCAAAAAACTTTATTTTCTTCTGACTGACTACTGAGCAAAGTCCAAATTCCTTTGCCTAGCATCATTCAGGGCTCTCCAATCTGGCATTACCCTATCTTCTCTGACTCAGCTTATATTACTTGTTTCCATGAAGTCTATGCTTCAGCCAAATCTACTTTGTTCTCTGAGCTTTCATTCAGGCACTCTATACTTCCCTATTGGCCTACTGCATTCCTGGTCATCTTTTAAAGTAACTCAATGTTTTCTCCATGAAACTTTCCATAATACTCTATCTGTAATGGCCTTCCCCCTTGAGCCTCAAATACCACCATTTTGCATTTCTTTAATGCACATATTAACATCATGGACTACTGGACTGTGAGCTATCTGAAAGTTGAGACTGTGTCTTACCTAAACTTAATATCTTCTCCCCCGCCTTCTCCCATCATATCTTGGCACAATACTTGGTACATACTGAGGCAAGATCAGTACCTAATAAACATTTATTGAAAATATCCTCTGGGAAGAATCTGCCTTCAGCTTTCAAGGATCAAGCCTGAGACTGAGAAGGATGTGGGGAGAAGGGTATAGGCCTCTTGGGCCCCATGGCCTCACCTTCCACATCTTCTGAAGCTAGGATGACATACTTGCTTGAACCATCTTCATCATCATCTTCTTCATCACTGTCCAAAGAATGCTTGCCTTTGAACCGGCTCCCAGGGCCCCCTGCTCCTGTCACAGGATCCACCAGCTACAAACAGAAACAGGGTTAGATGCAATAGACTCAGTGCTTTGAAGTCCAACATTGTTCAGTCCCTTCCAAACCCACTCACCTGGGAACTCAGCCATTCTGACCCTGCCCCACCTTTTTGGGGAGATCTTCTCCATTCCACATCCTGGAAACCCAAGCATCTGACCCCCACCTTCTTTTTGGGGAAATCATCTCCATTCTACATCCGGGAAACCCAAGCATCCTGACCCCCACTTTCTTTTTGGGAAAATCCTCTCCAATCCATATCTTGGAAACTCAGGCATCCTGACCCCCTCACCTTCTTTTTGGGGAGATCCTCTCCATCCTCTTCAATTCCCACATCCTGGAAGGTGACTCTCCGCTTGGGCATGGTGGGACTCGCAAGATAAGATTGGTCCTTCCCAGGAGCTGAGCAAAAAGGAGCCCCAGGGTCAGGAAGCCCTTAATGGGGCTTGGGGGTTCAGAATTCACTTCCTAGGGAGAGAGTACACTATGTCCTCAGACCTGGGGTCTTTCAATCTCTGTGGACAACAAGGAAAGGGAGGGAAGAGCTTGCATCTGAGTCTTCTGGAAGCTCCCATAACCCTTGATAGGGTGGGGGGGAAGGGGCGAGACTGGAGCTCCTTTGACTTGGGGAAAGATGGGGGGAGGGAAAAGAAAGCCTACGGACTGTCGGGCAAGAAAGCTCAGAGGGCCCCCATTAACATCTGAGGCCCGCATCTTTTCCCAGAGGATGGATGCCTTCTATTCCCGAGCCCCCTGACACTTGGGGTGACAGCGGGCGACGGTCCCAGACCGGGGAGTCCTCGTGGTCGCGCACAGTCGCGACCCTGCCACCCCACTCTAAATCCCGAGGGCCCTTCCAGGGCTCGGGGACCATTGTGGGGAGACTCAATACACTCCTACCCTAAAGCGGCCTCAAGTCCTGGTCCATCCCTTACAAGCGCCCCCGTCCCTCCTTCCTCCTCTTAATATGTAAATGATCAGGGAGTCGACGGAACCCCGCGGGATTCGGGGCTCACTCCGCGTGCGCGCCCTCACCTGGGGCTCCGGGGAGGGGAGAGGAGGAGAGGGGGAGGAGCGGGCGGGGAAAAGGAACGCTATTGCCGGGGGTACACCCAGGGCACTGCTCAGGAGTCAACCGGAAGAGATTCCCCGGAAGGCGGAGTAACTGCCCCAAAGTGGCTTCACTCCCTTTGAAGGACTTTGTTGCGAAAGAGGGCGGAAATAAAATAGAAACCATGGGGATGACATCACTCTCCGTGGGCGAAGGGAATGGTAGTGAGGGCGGAAGTTACGACAAACTGATCGGAAGTAGCTTCTATCCCCCCCGGCAGTATTGGGCTTATGAAGGGCTGAGGGCGGAAATAGTGTGTGCCTCGAAGGGACAAAAAAAGAGTGGGATAGGGCACAAAGGAGCGGGAGACCAGGGAGAAAGGTGCATCCCCGATTGCCCTTGCCTAAGCCTGAAACAGAATACAGAGGTCTTAGGGTTCCGTTCTTCCATAAGAAAACCATCTTCTCTCCCCTCCATCCTACTCCCCTTCCCAGCTTCACCCTGAGAGGAGTAACACAGATTTCAACTTCGTCTCTCTTTAAGGGAAACCTGGGTAGTCCTCCTTCATTCTCTGATCACCTCCAGTCTTCCCTGAAAACCTAACTCCCTCTAGGACCCAGGAAGAAGTTTCTTTTCGCTCTACGACCTGGCCCGGGAGGACTTCCTGGTTCCTGGGTTGGGGTGTGAGCCATCAAGAGATAGGGAAACGACCGCCCCGCCCCCGCACCTGTTCCCACCGTCCCAGCCCGGAGGGGCCCTCCCGCCCCCTGCTCTCAGGTAGGCCCAGAGTGGAGCAAGGGTCCCCCAGCACCAGTTTCCTCTGCAGCTGCATCCCTTGAGGCTGGAGCCCCAGCATCCCACCATGGCTCAGGTTTTCGCTGACCACGTTGCTCACTCGCACCTCCAGCCCTGCTGGGAGTTACTCATGTAATATCAAAAACTAATCTGCCTGGCTAGGACGGAATTTCCACGAAGGCAAGGTCAGCCTTCTTCCCAGAGGATCCAGTACAGAGTACTGTACACAGCAGGTGCTCAATCTGTAGGGCCTCAAGCCTTGCCCCTGCTCCACCAGGTGCTCAATCTGTAGGGCCTCAAGCCTTGCCCCTGCTCCACCAACCCCGTAATTTTTTCCCCATGCCTTCCATGAACCTATGGTCCCTTCTCAGGTTTGGCTACCATGAAACTGCACCGGAAGTCTGTGCTCAGCTACTTTCGGGGAACAGGAGCCCGGGCCCCAGACCGGGAGGGAATCTTACTGAAGAAGGGGACCCGCAATCCCAGCTACCAACGCCGCTGGTTCATCCTCCGTGGAAATCTCCTCTACTACCTGGAGCACCAAGGAGATCGAACTCCCCTGGGCCTTATCTTGTTGGACAGCTGCCGGGTGGAGCCCCGAGACAGTACCACTGAGCCCTATGCCTTCGTCATCCTGGCCTCCGAAGAGGGTGGCCGGAGCTACAAACTGGCAGCAGAGAAAAAGGTTGATTTCGACGGCTGGCTTCAAGCCCTAGTTTGGGCTGGATGGAGCCAGCTGTGGGAGCTCCTGCAGCCCTTGCAGGAGCAGTATCAAAGAGTGTGCCAAGAAGCCGGAGTGGAACCCCAGGCCCCACCGCAGGAAGACAGGTTTCTGGGCCTCCCCTGCTCTCCAGCCCCCTCTGGCTTCCAGGAGTTGCACCAGCGCTTTGGGGAAGAGATCCAGGCACTTGCCAGGTCCAGGGCCACCAGGAGGCAAGTGGACCTCATGGAGTTTGGGTGAGGGAGGAACCAGAATCCTGGGCTTGAGAGAGGAAGAAATGTGGCAGGTCTAGAGCACTCTAAGGGACATCTGGGATTGACACTTAGTCTTGGGACAACCTGGAAGCAAACTTCAATAAAAGTTCCAAAGCTAAGCACTCATCTGGTCAGTGTCTCTTGTACACCTATCCATTCCATCCCTGTGCCCCAACCTCCTAAAAAAAATAACCAGGCAAGAGTCAGGTATAGGGCAGGACAGTAGATTTGTTCTTTCCTGGTTCCACAAAGCTCTGTACAGTTGGGGGGGCGGGGCAATGCAGTAGGGGAAGTGAGGGGGCAGAAAGAGAATGTAAACATGAGGGCCCCCCCACCCCCTTAGAGAACAGAGAGGACACCCAACCCAAAGGGGAGCAAGAGGTTCAAGGAACAAAAGAAGGCAGGAAAGAATGGGAAAGAAATCATGGAAAAAATCAGAAAGGGCCTAAGAAGAATGAGATGGGTGTGTGAGACTGGAAGATGTGGTGAAAAGAGTATATGAAGAAAAGGAGCTAGAAACAGGACTGAAAGGCAAGCAGTCTAGCTGAGAGACCCTTCCTGCTGCAGGTCAACTCCCCTTAAATAAACCAGTGAACAGAGCAAGAGGGGAAGTAGAGATTGAACCCCCCCCCAGGGTCCTGTGTACATAATTACAATGCAGAGACATCAGATATATATATTATATATATATATATGCATATATATATATATATATAATATAGAGAGAGGCCCCTCTGCCTCCCAGTCTGGCACAGAGGGGAGATGTAGGGAGATGGTTAAGGCTTGAGGGAAGAGGAGAGGTTCACCCAGCTTTCTTCTTGTGGAATTGGGAAGCTGAGCCACCAAGAGTGAACATTTAAGAACAGTCAAGGCCCATCTTCAAAAGTCCACTCATGCCAGAAGAATATGTGAAGAGGTTAGATCAGCAAGAGGGGGAAAGGAGAAATCAATTGTTCCTTGGAAAGAACAACTTAGTAAGGTAAAGGAGAAACTTAATGGAGTCAGGAAAGGAAGAACACTGGTTGAGTAGAATAGGAAAGGGGGCTTCAGGGCTCACTCCACATTGTCCCATGAAATGCTGCTTAATTTGGGGTTTCAAGCCCACTAAATGGGGCTGGCTTGGGGACATGGTCCAGCAACAGCTGAGGAAAATATCGGGCCAGCTCCAGAAGATGGAACTAGGCCCGCCGAGGGTTCTGGGGAAACAGCACTAGCTCATTCTGTTTCTGTTGAGATATGGCCGCTTATACCAAGACGAGAAGAAACACAGCCTTCTCTAGGAGAGAACATCACTGACCAAGTAGAACGAAAGGAAACCTATGGCTGGCTCCCTGGGTCTGAGAGGTCAAGGGAGTGCAGCAGGCAGGCAATGAAGTTCATCACGGTGAAGGGAAGCCAGTGCCCTTCCCAGCCCCAGCATGGAAGGGACAGAAGGTTAGAAGTAAGCATCCTGTCGTGCTCCAGCTGCTGAGTTCCCATCCCCTCCATCTTGTGGGGGTGCAGAACCATCAGCCTTCCGTCGAAGGGACACCTTCCGTCCCTGGGCCTTCTTCTCTTGTTTCTGCCTCTCCTTTTCCCGTTCCTTCTCCTGTTTCTGTCTCTCCTTCTCCTGTTTCTGCCTCTCTTTCTCCTGCTTCTGAAGCTCCTTCTCCTGCTTCTGCCGCTCCTTCTCTTGACGCTTGGTCTCCTTTACCTGTCCCAGAGGTGTGCTGTTTCCAGTTGGTGAGGGCAGGGAAGGATGTAGCCCTTCGGCTGTGACCACAGGGCCTGGGGCAGGGCCAGCACTGGCTCTTCGAACAGGAGGCGGTGGGGATGAAGAAGCCCCACCCCTGGAGGAACGACTTTTGAGGCCTGGAAGGCTGAGGAGGCTAGCTGATGGGCCCAGGGGGGGCTGCTGTCGCCTTCGCTCCTCGTGGATAGCCCTTGAGCCATGGAGCCTCCTGGACGGTCGGTACTGCAACTCCCCCCGGGTCTCTCTCCACTTCTTTAGCTGGGCTGCATTTTCACGCTCTATCAGAGCCTCTGTCACAGGGAGGTTGGTTACCTGAAATGAGAAGAGTGGGGCATGAGACACAAGAGTCTCAGGAAAAGCATAAGGAGGCAGCTGGCTCCAGGAAATATAGAGATGCTGGGCAAGGCAGGGCAGGAGACACCCACCTCATGCACGAGGAACTCTTCCTGCATGCACTGTTGAGGTAAGTTCCTCAGCTGCTCCATGGTCTCATACATTCCCTGGCAGGACCGAAGCTTCTCTACAGAGCCCAGGGTATGCCGCAGAAGCACCAGAGCCACCCTGAAGATAATCTTGACTCCTGAGGGAAGATTAGTTGTCAGAGGTCACTAGAGAGTAGAGGAGGCTGCTGAAGACCTAGCCAATCCGAAAGCTCTTACTCTTTTTAAAGACCTAGATGACTCCCCTCCCTTTCCCACCCTCACTAAATAAGAATGAATTTTGCTTGAGGATTTGTGTCCTGGGTCATCAGAAAGATGATGGTGTTCTCTAGCAATTGCTACAGAAACCACTTCATTCTGAGGGCAGCTGTTCAGCTTAAGTATCTCAGTGGTAGCTGGGGCAGGGGCATCTATGAAGTGATCAAGATTATGAAGATGGGGTATTAATATTAGCCAACTAACAGGAAGAGGAAATTAACAAATCTATTCAATATGCAAGTTGCATCCCACTCCCATCCCACTCTCACTCTCTTTTAGAGCTGGTATACTATGATGAGAGTAGAAAACTCTCTTGAAACCAGCCTGATAAAGGGAGTCAGTAAAGACAGTGCATGAAATAGTAAATAGCTGGCTCCTCTGTTTTGCCCTCAGATAGGAGAAGATGGAAGAATAATAAGCAAAAGAAAATATGAAGACAGAAGTCCTATAGAGGAAGCTTGGGTCAGAACCACAGGGCTAGAAGTGTCCCCTTAGCACTGGTACCTTCACAGAAGAACATATCCCAGACCCGGAGAACTGAGGCCCAAGGCAGAGTGCGAGCAAAGATGCACATGAACCACTCAGTCATGTAAAGTACAGGGTCAATGCGCTGACGCCGAAGGTGTCGATGAGCTAAAGGGGAAGCCCGCCGAAGAAGGGCAAAGAAGATCTCTCCATCCAGCTGGATGGCCTCCTGAACAGTGAGCACAGAGATGAAGAGACACCATATTCACAAGCTGAAGGGAAAAGATTCTCTAACCTCCCTTCCATCCTGCCTTGGTTCCACAACCCTTTCCGAATCCAAAGTGTTACTCACCAGCCCAGCACTGTAGTAGCCAGGAAGGTATTTGTCACATATCTGTACCAAGCACCAGAAAGCTTGCTGGAGAGAAAAAGGAGAGTGGATGTGTAAGGAACGAAGAGCATGGTGTTAAACTTCTCCCCATCCCTACTCCACTGACAGCCCTGTGGCCACTCCCCCTCTTCCCACCCCAAAGGGGCTTTGGGAGCAGTCCAGTCAGCTCTCTGAACACATGCAAGGTATTGCCAGAGACTCCAATTCCTCCCATGTCCAACCCTAGGTCCCTTATTCCTGCCCTCTGACCTCAGCAGGCATATGCATGAGCAGCACAGCTGCCACAGGGGCCTGGGCTTGGCAGTAACCCTCATCAGGCCGATAGATGGTGTAGGCCTTCAAGATTCGATATAGGTCTTGCTGCCTGCAGGCATGGGAGAGGGAAGAAGGTTACCATAGTAACTGGGATCCAATGGTTCTTGAGGACATCTGTTCAGACTGCCCCAAACCCATCCTAAGAAACTGTCTATGGCACATGCCACTCTAGCCCCCTCTTCTCAGCTCAAATCTGTGCTGCACAGCCACAGCTACCAGATTAATCTTCCTAACACATAGCTATGATTATGTCATCCTCACCCACCTACTCAAAAACGTTCAGGGACTTCTCACTGTCCACAAAATAAAAGTCCAAATTCCTCTGCTTGGTTCTCAAGCCCTAACCTACCTTTCCAGTTTTATATCCTTTCCCCTCTTCAGATACTTCAATCACAAACTAAACTACTTACAGTATATCAAAATATTCAATTTTTCCCTTTCTGCTCTTTTGCTTACTCTATTCCTACTACCGGGAAAGCCCTCCCCCTTCTCCACCAATCAGAACTGCCTATTGTTTGGAGCCCAATTCAAATGCTCTTCCAAGAGTCTTTTCCTCATTTTCTAGCCAGAAATTAGTCAGCACCTTTTTAATGGCACTTGATCATACTCTACTCTTTGTTTTAGTTGTTTGTCGTTTCCCCCACTAATACACTATGTGCAGAAACCAACCATATTTCCATCTTTTGTGTTCTGCATAACACTGAACAAGGGCACTTAAACTGTATTAAATTTTTTGCTGAGACTCTGCCCAGGATCTTTTTTGATTGTACACTGTCACCCACCCCTAAATCTTACCCATGACCCCCTCGGGCAGCAAACATCTCATGAAAGGGGAATTGTCGATGCAAGTCTTTCTCAATCACATCCAGCCACTTAGGGTCTCCAGGTGCCCGCTCCAGCTCCTTCGATAAAATGGAGAAGTTATATCTCTCTGCAGCAATCCTCCCCCCCCACCCCACATTCAAGGGAAAGCTCTCTAGACCCTTCTCCTAACCCACAAAGGAGAGCCTTAGCTTGACCAGATGACAAGGAAGAACTGGCATTCCAATATAAATACTCTCCTCACAACCAGCTGCCTCCATACCTCAAATTTACCAGGGTTCTGATCTAGGAGTTCCTTGCTGTTGGACAGGAACTGCCAGGCTTTGGCTCTAAGGGACGAGGGGATGCCCTTCCGGCATCGCAACTTCACCTAGCAGAAAGGAGACAGGAGCGGGAAAGATGACATAAGTGAGGATAGACTTTTACTCAGACTTGATTAGCCCTGATGCTCCAGCATCTATTGGAAGAGACCAATCATCCCCTCAGGGCTCATCCTAAAACCTAGCTTCCAGCTCCCAAGCAAGGCTGGCCCTAGGGTTATCCCAATGTCAAGACAAAATAAAAGGCACTTGTGCCTTATCTTTACATATTTAACATATAACATTTTCACGCCCCCAACACATAGCACACATACTATCCAGTCTGCCAGGCTGATCCTATTCCTGTGCATAATTTTCCCCCAAAGACTTCACAGATGCTTTTTGCTTTCTCCCACCCTCCTTATTACTGTAAAGGGTGAAGGGCAGAGAAAAGCGAAGGAATAGAAGGCTGCAGGCCCTCACAGGTGAAGGGTGTATCAAACTTCGATCTTGCTCTCCCCATCTCATGTACCTTCTGAAATCGACGAGATAACCACTTATCCCAGTTACTGAACATGTCCAGCCACTTTAGTTCCCGCTGACGGGCCACATCAACAGGGACAGAGCTTTCCCTGGGGGAGAAAGGAAAAGGAGTCCAACTGATGTCACCCCAATCATAAGTTTCTCCATCCTCTCTTCAGTAAATCCTCTAACTTCTCCCTTTCAAATCTCCTCAGATTCCACAACTTCCCATTTTTAAACCCTAATCTGTAGGTGTTGAACCATTATATCCATGATGACCTAGCCCAAGGGAATGGAGGCATCAGGGGTCATTCCATTATGTGGTAGGAAGGGGAACAAGGATGACCAGGATCCAGAGAAAGGGAAGGAAGGAGTCACAGCAGTCACACCCCACACCTTGGGAGGGAGTGACTCAGGCCATAGGAGGCAAGGGAACTAGGAAAGAGGGCAGGGCCTGGGGAGATGAGGAAATGGAGAAGAGGCACTCCTACCCCTTTCCCCTGTGAAGACCTAGAAGTCCCTGCTCACTCAGAAAAGTTTCATTCAATGTTCACCTCCCCCTAAATTATACTCCACCCCTTTATATTTTTTGTGACCTTCCACATCAGGGCAGAAGAGAAGTAAAGAACATGGAATCGGCTCCATATAGCCTGGCCCCACCCTCCAGGTTAAAGTCGAGAATCCCTTGTTACCTCCATTATACTGAGGCATTGTGGTTTCCTTGCCTGAATGAGGCTCCATAACAGCCTGTAATCCAACTAAATTTCTAAATACTATTCCTAACCAGCTGCTATTTTAACCTTTAAGCCAATAAGACCTGGTCCCCTACCAATGGCCAGGTTTTAACATCAGAGAATCATAGACTGTCAGAACTGGAAAGGGCCTTAGAGATCTAGTCTGACCCCCTCTTTTTACAGATGAGATAAACCCAGGGACTATTTAATGACTTGTCCAAGGTTAACACTGCAAGTTAGGAGCAGAGATGAAACTAGAACTCAAATGATCCAATTCTGAGGTCCAGTGTTCTTTCTACCACATCATGCTTCACAACAAGCTACTAATTGATGGTCAGTATAATTGAACTAAATTACCTTTTGAAGTTTAATTCAAAGCAACCCTCAATACTAAGACTGAATCCCAAGTTGGAGGAACTATGCCCAGGAATTGACAGGATTTATAAATGTCACCTCTTCTGAAGGACCCTTTCTCCCCATACCAGGAGTGGTCCCCCGGGGTCCCCCGTACTCACAGGCTTCCAGAGTACTGGCTGCCCCCCAGGAATCCATACTTGTCTGTCTTTCGAAGGGCAAGCCCGTTGATTTCAGAGTCTGAGCCCATGGAGCTCACATCATCTGCCAAGGACTCTAAGGTACCTGACATGAGGCTCACAGAGTCTAGGTAGCTTAGGCTGTCTGGGGCCTGTCCACGAGGTCCTTGAATTCCAGGACCTAAGCTAGACATGGAGCCCAAGTCCTGGGAACCTTCAGTTGGCTCAGGGGCTGGGGTCACAGTTACTGTGGCTACTGGAGTCTCGGAGACTGCAGAAGACTCTGTTCCTGTCCCCGATGGCATTGCAATGGCTGGGCCTGCCATTGCCACTGCTACACCTGTGTCACCTGTAGCAGCTAGCCCATCTGTTGTCAGTCCTGCTGTTACAACGGTAGCTGGTCCAGTTGTTCCTGAAGCTACCACCATTCCTGGTCTAGGTGCAACAGGCGGTTTGGCTGTCATTGCACCAGAAGCTGTTACAATAGGCACAAGAGTTGTATTCTCTTCTGTCACAGACACAGGTGTTCCTGAGAGGGCCAAGTCAGCTAATTCAGTTGCCAGCTCCAGTCGCGGTGCTGCCACCACTTCTGATGTAGTCAGTCCCATCGAGCTGGTGACCAGGCAGTCACCTACAGGGGCTGTTTCTGAGTGTGCCGAGGTTGCTGTTGCTGTCTCTGGTCCGGCTACAGAGGAGTCTGTCCCCATCTCGGGGGTCACAGCACCGATGGGCAAGGCTGTTCCTCCTGCTGCCACCATTCCTGGTGCCACCGGCCTGCCACGAGGTTCGGAAGCTGACCTGGGCCCAGGCTCTGTCCTTGGGATTCCTGTGGTGCTGGAGCTGTCTGTCCTCACCTCCCTGGTGGGGTTGGGGTCAGGATCCTGGCCAGAGGCTGCAGCCACAGCTTCCAGAGTCAGCACCACCACCGTGCTGCCACCGGTACCTGTGCCCCCCAGCCGGCCCCGGCGACCCTGCAGGGGCAGACGGAGGCGGCCGGCTCCCAGGGATGCCAGGTGGGGGCCTGGGGCCACCGGACACCCAGGCCGGGCGGGCCTCCCCGGGTGCCACCAGAGTGACCGGGGAGGAGGTGGCCGTGGTCACTGGGGGCCCCGGGGCCACCACCAGCACAGGCCCAGCCCGGGAGCCCCGAGGTGGTGGGGAGGGGGCCACTGAGGCGCCATGGCGGCGTGGGGGGGCCACCAAAGGCGCCGGGCCTGTCTCCATGGCGACGGCCCCGCTCCGAGGTGCTCCTCACATCCCCCTCCCCGGAGGCTGGGCCTGGGGGAGGAGCCACCCCACCCACCGGGAGGGAAAGAGGGAGGGAGGGAGGGGGCAGAGGGTGAAGGGCGCGGCCTAGCCAGATGGCGGGCGCCCGAGCAGGAGTGAGAGGGAGGGGGAGGGGGGGAGGGGAGGGGAGGGAGGGGGGTCGCACAGGGCGGGCGCCTCGCGGGGGTCCGGCTCGCGCCCTCTCACCCTCACTCGCGCGCTAACTCTCTCCCCTTTTTGGGCCGGTGGCCGTCTTCACGCCTGCGCACAACATCGTTAGCTGGGCGGAGCGCTCCCCCCCACTCTAGTCAAACAACTGGCGCCTGCGTGAAGTGTAATCCCGCCCACCTCTCCTTCCCTATCCCGCCTTCAAGGGGATCCTGGCCAGTCACTTGGAGACAAAGAATGGCGCTCCTACCAATCAGGGAAAAGTAGGTGGGATCGCGGGGAAGAGGAAGCAGGGGTGGGGCATGCTGTGAGGAAAATGTTCTGGGAGCCAACCAAAATGGTAAACAAGGCGGAAGAAGGTGGGTTGAAGAAAGTAGCTAATTAGAAAAAAGGGTGTTGGCAACTGTTGGCCAATAACAAAAGTTAGCGAAAGTTTGACCGCGGAAGGATAAAGGAAGGGGTGGAGTTTGAGAGGGAAAAGGTGGGTGCCAGAATTTGCAAGCTATTAGGAAGGGAGAAAAGGAGCCGGGTGAGCCAATGAGGCAGGGTTGGCAGGATCAAAATTGACAGTTGGGATGTCATATATGGGCGGTGATTGACAGTAGGCATAATCAATGGAAAGCTTTAAAGAGCCGAAGTCCTCCGGAGAAGCAGAGGAGATAATGACCGCTAGTGGGCGGGCTAATCATAGGAGGGATTCTCCTTTTTCAACCAATGAATGCGTCTTAAGGAGCCAGGGGCAGAGAGAAACTGACAACTGTGACAACCAATGGCTATTTCGGGAAGGTCCCGCGGCTGCCAGCGGGAGTAGTGGCTTTGGGGACAGGCAGTGACAGTCGGTGGCAGGTGGCGGGAGGGAAGAGCGGATGACGGGTGACAGTCGGGGACGGCTCAGGAGATCGCCTCAGCACCTCCTTCTCCCCTCCTCACTACATCCCTGCCTCTGTCTGCGCCCTTATATCCCCTCGCAGTGCTCTGCACACAGTGAGAGCTTCAAACACGTTCCATGAATGGAATGAATGAATGAATGAATGAATGAATGAATTTCTGGCCCCGGAACATTTCCCCTCTAAGAATCCAGGGTCTCTGTCCTTAGCGTGTTGATTGATTGATTCCAGTGCTTAGCACAGTTCCTGACGCTTAATAAATGATCACTGTCTTGATTTGATCTGCTGCAACACCTCCCCGCAAGCCGTTAGCCCTAATCACGCTCTCTGGGATCCCATTCTCCACCTAGATTCCACTTTTCCAAGGCTCCCGACTCTCCAGTCCCCTCAGCATCCCACTATCTCTAGGACTCCACTCCCCAACTTTCCTGAATCCCCTAAGCTTTCTTTTTTGAAGTAACAGAACTCAGACATCAGAGGTCCCAACCGTCAAGCCCCTGTTCTCTCTCAGATCGTATTCCCCACTCAGACCCCAGGCATCCAATTCTTCCAGAGTCCCTCAATTCCTTGATCTTTCTCTGGAGGATATAATTTTTTTTTTAATCCAGTGCCCATAACATCCAGTGCCCCAGATTTCAAGTCTGCCTCGGGTTCCTCCATGACACTCTGGGACCCTATTCCACACCATGAACTCAAGTATTCAACCACCCACAAGCTCCAGAGTTCACTGAATTGGCCTGATATTTTCTTTTTTGGTAATTATATTCTCTATCCAGAACTCAGGCATCCAATCCCCTATCTTTCCGGTCTTCTCACCTTTCCCACTCTCTCCCCCATCTCTCCCTTTTTTCTGGAACCCATAGCCAACCTAAAAACCCCCATGTCCCTTTGATTTCTTACTGATACTCCATCCCCTACCCAGAACCCAGGCGCCCTGCCTTTTAGATACCATATAGGGGGAGAAATAGACCCCAGGAATAATTTATCTCCACTTCCTTCACCACGGTCTAAGTCCCCTCTCCCCACTTCACTGGGTCCCTGTTGCCCATATAAGGTGGGGCCCTAGGGTCAGGGGATAGAGTGGGAGGGGAGGGTTGGTTAGGAGGCCAGCAGGGGGGCAGCTGGTGCTAAGTTTAGGTGGCTCCTTCCCCACCCCTCCCATCAGAGACAACAGGTGGACTGTCCCCAGTGCCCAGAAAGGAAAATGTCTTAGAGGCATTGGCGTGGTACTGGGGGAGGGGCATTCTCAGAGGCAAGGAGCATTCCCCAGAATGGCAAGTTCCTGCACAAGACACTAGCTCTTTAGGGGCCCCTGGCCTCCTGGGCCCTATCCACGTTCTCAGGCCTTGTCATAAATCTCATTTTCTCTTCCATTAACTATCCATCCTTCTGGTCCTTGGCCACACAGTACCTGTTTCTCTCTTTTTTTGAGGGGTCACTTGAGTCTAAGCCTGGCCATTTCCTCAAACTGTATCCTTTCCTTCAGGTGTCCTTTCCCTACTTAAGGCAGAACCTTTCAGAACTATTTGTCAGAACAGCTTTTATCATCATGCCCTTCTCTTGCTCACAAACTTTCAGCAGATCCCCATTGTCCATAGGATCGAATCTGAACTCAGCTTGTCATTCAAGGCCCTCAATATTCTAGGCCCAACCTTCCTTTCTAAGCCTAACTACCCACTATTTCCTGAAGAAAGGGAAGGGACAAAGCATTTATTAATCACCTACTATGTGTCAGGTGCTTTACACCTCATTTAATCCTCCAAAAAGGTGCTGAGAAATAGGTATTATTATCCCCTCTTTACATATGAGGAAACTCAGGCACAAAGAAGTTAAGTGATTTGTCCTGGGCCATACAGCTAGTTTCTAAGGTCAAATTTGAACTCAGGTCTTCCTGACTCCAAACCCAGGGCTCTATCCCCACTATGGTGGCCTCTGCAGCCTCACATGTTCAGATTCTGGTATCTTTGCTAATGTTGGTCTCCCAGTTTGCAATGCCCTTTCCCAGCCTCTCTAATTTCTATCTATTTGTCAAAGCCCAGATTAAATCCTGTCTCCTCTATGGAGTCTTCTCAGATCACCCCATCCCACAATGATCTTTTCTTCTTCTGAATTTCAACTGAGCTTATTGTTGAGAACACACATGTGGTACCCAGCATAACTTCCTGGCATTGTTAGCTCACCGTTGTTATGAAAATGTTTTGCTTCCCTGTGAATTGCTTAAGAAAGGGACTATGTCTTATTCATTTTTGTATCACCCTTGCTGCGCAGGAAGCCGCTAACTTCCCAGATTTCTCATTCCTTCCCCAGTCTAGTCCCCCTGAATCTTTGTGCCTGCTGGGGAGGTGAAAACATTCCATCCTGACTTCATTTACCACACCCCACATTCTGTCTCTCCACCCCCCCCCACTGGTACACTTGTCCTCCACAAAGACCATGCCTGAGTTAGAACATCCCTAAGATCTCCCTCCATCTCCAATTGCTTCCCTCCCCCTCACTTCTCCAAGAAAGGAGAGGCCTGTGAGCTATTTCGGTATCTTGGGTAGCCATCTGTTCCCCCCTTTCATCCCTCCCCCCACATCAGCCCCCTGGCTCCTTTTCTACCCAGCCCCTCCCCTTTCCAACTCTAAGACTCAGCTAAAGTTACCCTGGTATGTTAAGGGCTCCCTCGGGTCGGGTATATAACCCCAGAGGAATCGTCCACATCTTGTCACTCTGCTCTGATTCCTTCCAGCGTCCCACTAGAGCCGTCACCCAACCCCATAGAGAAAAGATATGGTAAGTGAGATCTCTTCCCCTCTCCCCACCCTAAGACCTCCAGACTCTAACCCCCAGCTGTTAAATTAGAGTACAACTTGGGGGGACGGGGAAGGAACGTTTTTTGAAGAAGACAGCTAAGAGGATGGTTCTGTGGAGATCAAGGGAGAAAAGTTTAACCTTCTAGAAAAATGTGTAACAAAGAGGTTAATGCCTCTGACATGGTGAGATATCAAAATGTTAAAAGGTAGAAATACCTCTGAGATCACCTGGTCCAATCCCTTCCCTCTACTGATAGAAAAACTGAGGCTCAGAAGGGCATAGGCTTGCCTAAGGTCTCGTAGCAAGTGAGCAACAAAGCAGACATTAGAACTCAGTGATGGAGAAAGACCGATGAAAAGGGAATAGATGAAACATCCCCTACTTAGCCACTCTCACTTCCATCCCCACCCACCCCACCCAAAAAGACTACAAGAAATGTCTGCTCAAATAACATCATGTTGCTCTTGTACTAGAAAGTATACTATACTCTAGTAACTGTCAGTGTTCCCTCAAGAAGAGATGTGCTTAATATTACTCCAGTAATTTAGGGGCCTGGCCCCTAAAATTCCCAGCCCACCCCCTCTCTAATATTACCTTGAGATTGGAGTTTCATAGAGCTATAAATAGCAAGACAGTGTTTGCTTTCAAGCATCAGGACCTGCCAACTTGACCTCAGGGTACATCAGGTCAGAGAGGTTGACCTCTTCCACGTCTAAATTCCAAGGCCAGGAAGAAAACCCCATCAGCATTACTGTACAACAGGGATACTGGATATGATTGACAGTCCCCTCTCACCTACACCTTCGCTATTGTAAGAAAACGCAGTTCCCTCATAAAGAGTTACCCTAGGAACAAAGAACGATCTTAGAGGACTGTCATGAAATCCTCACTGCACTTCCCCTACACACACACACACACACACACACACACACACACACACACACACATTCACATGCATACACACACACACATATACACACTCTCACCTGGAAGGAGAATCCACAGGCTAATCCGTAAGATAATAGGATTTAAGGGGCTCTAAATAGGCCATCTAGTCCCAATAGCTTTGTTTTACAGATGAGGAAACTGAGGCCCAGGGAAGGTAAATGATTTGCTTGAGATCATAAAAGCTAGTGGTAGAGGTACCTGAAGTACAGCTCTGATCCTGCCCTCTTCCTTCTCCCAAATCTTCAGTGATGTCAGAATGCCCATAGAATGCAGTCCTATACCAGAGCTTACTGGGGTAGAAGAAGCACTTCATGATACCCCAGTCACAGAGACAATGAGGCTAATAACCATGTAACCATGGTCTGACTTTACTGTGATAACTGAACCTTTCTCTCCACAATGTACCTTGATCTGGCCTTACAGCAGCTAGATCCACTGATCACCTAGCTTTAAGTCATACAGAGGTAACTGATCAGTCTGTCTGTCCAACTAAAGGGAGAGAGTTCTGTCTCTGTAAGAAAAGTTAGAGAGAGAGAAAGAGAAAGAGAGAGAGAGGAACAGGCACTCCAAGGGAGCTACCCTACTCTCCTACCTGTAGTATGTTCCTTACAGATCTCCTGGCCCTATCACCACCACCACCACCATTACTTCTCTCTCCACCACCATACTCCAGGGATTAGGGTCATGATGAGTGTGCCACAGAGGCCACAAATAAGCAAGGAGTGGCCAGAAGGGGTTCCTGCACTAAGAACGTTAGCCTGTCTTCCCCTCCCTACTGCTCTATAGTCAGTGATTCTCCGGTGATTTCCACTAGACTTTGTTATCCTGCAGCTCCCAGGCATCTGACCTTTTTGTCTGCCCATCTCCTCTCCCCTCAGGCACCCAAGAAGGCCAAGAGAAGGGCAGCAGAGGGTGGCAGCTCCAATGTCTTCTCCATGTTTGACCAAACACAAATCCAGGAGTTTAAGGAGGTAAGGAAGAGTTGGGGGGGGTAGGCATTGGGAGTAGAAGGCATGAGAGAGTGAGGAGTCCTGGTGACAGGCTGCCTGATGAAGCCAGGTGTCCTGGGCCCCCAGCTGTCAGTCAACATGATTTCCTCCAACTCTGGGTTCTTCTCCCTCCATTCCTTCCCCTGCCCCTCCCTGGAATGTGCACCTGTCCCAGAGTAGGGGGAAGGGTGAAGGGAAGGAAAGGGAGATGAAGGATTCCTTCCATCCTAGAGGCTGACCTAGCGGAGAGACAGCTGGGGTGGGGTAAAGGAACGGTACAGAGAGTATAAAGCTGGGGGCCTCAGGAAAAGAGATTGAGAAGAGCTTCAGTCCTAGAAATGAGGAGGAAAGTAGAACCCCAATACCCTCTCTTTTCCTGTTCCTCAACAATGCCCTCCCTCCCTAGGCCTTCACCGTCATTGACCAAAACCGAGATGGCATCATTGACAAGGAAGACCTAAGGGACACCTTTGCAGCCATGGGTAAGACTACCTCTGCCCCTCAGCCTGGAAGTCCTGATCATCTATTTTTCCACTTCTGGGATCCAAACATAAGCCCCCAGTCCTCTTAGCCTTCTCTGTCTTAGCCTCTGGTAGCCACTGTTCTCTGTCAGAACTTTGGTGACTTAGTTCCTCTGTCTCAGCTTCTCATAGAGTCCAAGAAAGTTAGGAGGAACATTAATTACAGTTGGAAGGAACATTATTTATCACTTAGTCCAATCTCTTCATTTTCCAGAGCAAGAGACAAAGGCACAGAGAGGTGATTTGCCCAAGGGTTCCATAATCATTTAGTGGCAGTGCTGGGACTCATCCTCAGGTCTCATTGTACTCATTCCTGGCCCTTCCCACCTTAATCCCGATCCCAGAATCCTATTGTCTAGCTCATTCCTCCTACCAGCTTCCTCCCTATTAACCTGCCTTTGTCAGGAGCACAATTTGAAACCTATCCCCTCCCTATTTCTATCCTACCCCATAGGCCGCCTGAATGTGAAGAATGAGGAACTGGACGCCATGATGAAGGAGGCCAGTGGACCCATCAACTTCACTGTCTTCTTGACCATGTTTGGAGAGAAATTAAAGGGTGAGTTTAAAGGTGTTGGGTATACATACCACCCCTCTTACTCAATACTCCTTGGGGCTCCAGGATTCTGTTCCCCCAGAGACACACCCTTTCCCCCTAAAACATGTGAAATTAGCTTCCAGCCCTCCCTGTCCCTAGGTGCTGATCCGGAGGATGTGATCACTGGAGCCTTCAAAGTCCTGGACCCTGAGGGGAAGGGGTCCATTAAGAAGCAGTTGTGAGTAGTGGTTTATTGGTCTGTTCATGGGCAGCCCTCTCCCTGTGTCCTAAGGTCCCATGCTCTCCCTTCATTCTGTACCCCAAGTTTCTAGCCCCAGTATTTTCCTGCCTCATATGTATGTATATGTGTATGTGTATGTGTATGTGTATGTGTATATGTATATATGTATATATGTATATATACACACATACCTACATATACATGCATACATATATATACACATACATACATATATATATGTGTGTGTATATATATATACACATATATATAACTTCCCCTGCCTCTTTGGGTTTTTTTTGGGTAGGGAGGTAGTCACTGTTCTCCAGAATAAACTGATTTATTCCCTATAACTCCTCTTTCCTTCCCAGTCTGGAGGAGCTGCTTACAACCCAGTGTGACCGATTCTCTAAGGAGGAGGTGAGTTTTTTGGAGGAAGAAAATTGAGGAGAGGGAAGAGGGAAAGCTTATCTATTTAGGGGAGGAAAGAGAGAGGAGAGGGAGGCTCCTTTGGGAGATGACTCCTATATGACTGGTCCTGTCTCTATCGCAGATCAAGAACATGTGGGCAGCCTTCCCTCCAGATGTAGGCGGCAATGTAGACTACAAGAATATCTGCTATGTCATCACCCATGGAGACGCCAAGGACCAGGAGTAGAGGCCTCCAGAGCCTCACCCTCCCTTCATTTGGTCCCCAGAATGGGGAGTGTTGAGCTCCTCTGGATCTGAACCCCTTTATTCCCCAAATAAAGATGAACTTGTGTTTCTTACTGATGACCTCCCAATATCTTTCTGTGGAGGAGGGTTGAGGGGAAGAGAGGGGATCTTTATTTTCACCTGAAGTGAGCAAATCTGGAGAAAAGGGGGTTAGGACTGAAAAAAGGTCCGCTGGAAACTTGCTCATGAAGGGAATCCCTTCTAGAAAGGCTTTTGTGGGAGGCCTCTGGTTGGATTCCGTGAGAGGGGCAGAGCTGGAACTGGAGTGATACGAAGGGGATCTAGAATCAAGTCAGCATCTCCTGCCTCCTCCTCCGTATCTCCATATAGTAGACCTTGGGGTACTCTATTTTCGACCAAACTGGGACATTTTGGGACAAAAAAGAGATGCAAAGAACAGTGAGTAGGAAAGGAGGGAAGGTTTATCTGCGCGCATAGAATGATGGAGCTGGAAGGAATCTTAGAAACCACCAAGTAAAACCTCCCCATTTTACAGATGAGGAACCTTAGTGATTTGCTCAGGGTCATATAATAGTGTCACAGGAGGGCTTTTGAATCCAATTTTCCTGACTCAAAGTTTAAGTCTCTTACCCACCACACAAGGCTGCTACTAATGACTTTTTTAAGGCCACACAAGTAAGTCTCTTCTCCTCTCTGGATCTGTGTCCTCATTGCTAAGAGGAGGGAGCTGGACTAAAGAACTTTTAACGTCTTCTCTAGCTCCAAATCCTGGATCCTATGACCTTGTGTCCATATGAGGGAAGTGTATATGCACAGTAGAGGTTGTGTATATGGTCCATATTCATGGAGGGCATGTATATGCAGAGAAGAGAATGTTTGTATGTGGGGGAGTATGTTTGTGGAGAGTTTAGATGTGAGGAGAGAAAGTTCATAAGTGTGTAGCAACAATATACGTGTATGAAATCTTGTGGAAGTCAATGTTGAAAACTAAAAATAAATAAATTAATAAGAAAAAAAATTTTTAAGATTTTAAAAATGTACATGCATATAGAGGAAAGGCAAACATATATATCTAAAAAGGCATATTTGTGGGAGTATAAATATGTAGGAGCATGCTACAGGGGAATGTATATGGTATGTATGTTTTATATATGTGGGAGGCATGTACATACATACACATGCATGTGCATGAGTGTGGGAAATGTATGTTTAGGAGGAGTGTTTGTGGGAATGGAGGGCACATGCAGAATGTGAGAAGGGGAGTGTATGTGTGTGAGGAGACAAATGTAAAGGGAAGAAGGAAGGTATGTTAGTGGAGAGGATTGGAGGGGAGGGCCCTGCAGGATGATGCTTCTGGGACATCTGCCGCTAGAGGCAGAGATGGATTGATATCTGGATTCAGTCTGGGGTGGGGGTGGGACCCAACACCGCCTTTTACTACTCTCCTCTTCCCTCCCCTTCCAGCCCTTTGGCCTGATGGCATCTAAGAGCTATAACTCCATTAGGCTCCTTAAGGGACCTGGCTATCTGGTTTCCCCAGTCCCAGCCACTCCCTTCGTCCTCCCCCGCCCCCTCCCTATTCCAGTCTGGCGTGCAGCAGGATTGGACCCCTCTGCTCCTACAGGGAAGCCTTCTGTCTTCTTGTTGCTATTGTCCATTCTTGGCTCAAACATTAAACAGGTATTTTCCAGGCCACAAGCCACCTTTCAAAATTCTTCTTCCCTCATCTTCCCCTGCCCCGCACCAACACCAGACCATTTTCCCCAGCCCTCTCAGCAATATACAGAGCAGGGCCCGTTAAGGAAATTAACTTTTATTTCAAGACATTGGGGTCCACAGTAAGCACTTAGTAAATGCTTGTTGTGAAGAACAAGATCAATTTTGACAGTTAGACAACTGACTGAACAAGGAGCAGAAGCAAACAGAGAAGGGTATTCATGTTGCACAAAATCCGATGGAATAGAGGACATCTGGGAATGGGAGATGGTGGATGAGGGGACTGCAGGGAGGGCAGCAGGAATCCCAAATAGTCACGGAGAAGGAAATCATCCTCAGTGGGATGGGATAAGCTAAGGGTTAGAGCTCAGTCAGGTATGTTTGTCTGGGTCCTGAGAGACCAGGGGAGGAGGGGCCGAACTGGAAGTAAGTCCCCAAGATGTAAAAAAGGAGTGGGAAAGAGGAAGACCGTGGGCTCAGAGGACATCGGACTGCTCTCCCTGACTCTGCTGCATCTGGGCTTGCATCTTCTCCAGCATCTCCTGCATCCGGCGCAGCTGCAGGAGTAAGATGTTGGAGGAAACAGCTGGATGTGAGATGGGCCCCTCCCTGGCAGCTGAGTGGATGGGGTGGGACTCCCAGCTCCCCCTTGGGATTGGGGGAGGCAGCCAAAGGAACTCACCTCCTCATCCTTTTCTCTGATAAGTTTCTCTGTGTCTGCCAGGGGCAGCATGGGGAGGGGTATTTCAGTGGCACTCTGTCGGGACAACTTGCTGAAGGCAGGGAGGAGAAAGGAAGGGATTTGGAACTGGTTGGAACTTATCGATAGATAAGTCCCGTCTCCACCCCACCCCACCCCAGGCCACTCATATACCACCCTCCTTTGCCCCAGCTAGAATCCAGGGTTGGGGAAGGGTTTGTGTGGCCTTGGAAGCCTCCTCACCTGCGACTGGCGCGTTCCCGGGCCCCAGGACGGGCCAGACTCTGAAGACAGCGGGCTCGGTAGCCTTCATAGAGCAGGTCATGGGTCACCTCCTTCAAGTCCTGTAAGTGGGTCTGTACCAGCATCCGTCTCAGGTTGAGGAAGTCACAGTGATAAGGATTTTCCACTGGCAGGATATTAAGAAGAGAGGGTTGGAAGGGAACAGAAACAGCGGGAAGGTGTCATGACCACACTTGGGAACGTCGGAATCAATGAATAATTGTTTAGAATCATAGAATGTCAGAGATGGAAGGGACCTCAAGATCATTTGGCCAAACTCTTATGATGTTCTATGTAGACGAAGACAAATTCTATAGTCAATTAAACACCTCTGTAACAACGTAGGATTCCATTCTTCTCAACCTCTGTGACCATATCAACTGTGATGGGGAAGGGAAACCATCTTCCTTACATATAGATAAGGAAGCTGAGGCCCAGAAAGATGAAGTGATGTCCAAGGTCACGGCCTATCATAAGTGCTTAATAAATACTTTTTCATTCATTCATTCATTCCCTCAATCATTCATTCATTCTATAATCAAATACAGGACTTCTGCCTCAAAGATGTTCACTTTTGGCTGTGCGTCTGACCTGTGGAGACTCTCCCTCTACCTGCCTTGTCTAAACAATTGTCATGGGTTTATTAATCCCTTAGAGACCGTAAGAGGCCAGACCAGAACCTCCTCCTTTGCTGCATCCTCAACCTTTCCTCCAGCTCTCCTTACCTTCTGCTGCTCCCCAGGGGTAGAGGCGACCCCTCACTGGCCGGGTGGCACCGTCCCTCACCACGGTACTGGAGCCAATCACAGCAAAGGGGATGCTCTCCTGAGGGAGGGCAAAGGTCGAATGACATAGCCAGGAATATTAGTCACCAGAGAGGTCTCACCTTGTTAACAGTTCCCATTCTCCTCCCTTGCCTTTCACTTCCTCTTCTCTGACATCTGTCATCTGACTCTTGGTCCCATAACAGCCTCCACCCTCTTGGCCCTCACTTTCATCTCAGCATCCTGTTTCTTGAAGTCTTCATCCTCATCGGAATCACAGTCTGGAAACTGGTAAATGTTGATCTCCTGTTCCTCCAGCTGCTCCCGAATCTAGCCGAAGACAGGAAATACACCAGAGAAAGAGAGACAGAGAGAGACACAGAGAGAGAGAAAGAGACAAAGACAGAGGGAGAGAGAGAGAGAGAGAGAGAGAGAGAGAGAGAGAGAGAGAGAGAGAGAGAGAGAGAGAGAGAGAGAGAGACTACAGATGACAAAGCGGAAGAAGCATCCTGGTCCTGAGGCCATTAGAATATCATCATATGTATAAGTAGATTGCCCGCCATCTTGGGGAGGGGAGAGGAAAAGGAAGGGGGAGAAAAGTTAAAACTCAAAGTCTTATGGAAGTGAATGTTGAAAAGTAAAAATGAATAAGTTAATTATTAAACTTCCAAAAAAATCATCATAACAAAGCTTCCCTTTACTTAGTGCTTTCCTCATCCTCTCCACAACCCAGGTTTTTTGATCCAGATTTTACTGATAGTCACCTAAGGCCCTAGGTGAAGTGATTTGCCCTAAGTAACACAGCTAAGTGCCTGAGGCAGACTGCAAGTCTCAATCTACTACACAGTTCTCATTATGCCTATCCTGCTGGCAAACTGGCTTGTACCTAAATCACCCTAGAGTGTGAAGTTTTTCAGTCATGTTTTTAAAGCCTCCTGGGCAGAAGAGCCCACAATGTGCTTTAGGAAATATTTTTTAGAGCCTAAACACCCCCCTCCCTATCAGGAAATTCATTGTTAAGCATAAATCCTTTCTTGAAAAAAGAAAAAAGTCAGTCCAAGTGAAGAAGAGAGGAGGAGGTATTAGAGACAGGGTAAAACATTAGCTTAAACTTTGGCTTCTTTTAGAGGCAAGGAAAGAGTCAGAGATTAGAACCACCACCACCACCACCGCCACCCACCCTCCCAGCACACACCTGCCCTCCCCAAACCTACCTTCTGCTTGAGAATCTGGGTTTCCTTAGGAGTCAGGGCATCAGCTTTCCCAATGACAGGGACGATGTTGACCTTCTCATGTACAGCCCGGAGGAATGCCACATCTAAGGGGCGGAGCCTAAACCACAAAAGCAGTCAGGGTCTAGACTTCTACCCCTCTCCACCCCACCCGGGGCCTTATTGCCCTTCCCCTACCTCCCCTACCCCTATCCCCACCCTAGGCAATTTCCAGGGGGGAGGAAGCTTTCTCTTTTCCATGCCCAAGGCTCATCTCTCTGCCGGAGGTGAGAATCAGATCATAGAAACCTACAGGTGTGTGGGGGAAACCTTAGAAGATGTCTAATCCAATCTACAGTTGAGAAATTCCCTCAGTATCCCTGATCGAATGCACTTAAGACTTCCTAATCGAGCTGGAGACTCAGGGTCAGATGAACCAGATTAGGTGAGCTGCACCCCCAAAGTGGTAAAGTGTAGTCTCCTCATTTTACATGGGAGGAAACTGAGTCCCAGAGAGAAGCCATGATTTGCCTAAGGTCATTCAACAAACTGACAGAACCAGAACTAGAACCCAATTCTCCTGACTTCTAGTTCTGGATTCTTCTAACGGGTTAAGTTAGAGGGTCAGGTTAGGTGATCTCTAAGGTCCCAGTCAGTTGTGACATTCTACGCTCCTTGGTTCTTTCCAATATACTATACTGCCCAAAGTCCAGTGGTATGCAGGAGTCAGCTTATATAGGCTGCCCTGATGTAACATTTTCAGTTTAAACATTTACACCTTGAAAAGCAGCAAAGGCTATTTCATTATCAGGGCTTGACTTATTATTTTATTAATTTTTAGACTTAAGAAAGTGATGGAGAAATGTTAATAACACAAATTAAACCTAAAAGTGAATCTCATTCCCCCCCTTTTTTTGAGAGAGAGCTGATTGTTAAACATTTATAATCCTGACTCCATTGCAAAAAGAAGGCACAGAGTGGCTGAAGAGTCTCTCTCGGCAGCCTCCTTATTTAGCCTGGGTGGGAACTTTCTGGCCAGAAACTGCATTTGCCCATCTCTTATTCCTACCCTTAGGGCTATAGAGTCTCCTCTCCTACCCTTACCCTCTACCAAAGGGAGAGATGAAGTAGAGACAGCAGTGCACCCTGGAATCCTGTATATTTTTCCTGTTGAGGCCGCTCTCATCCCTCAGGTACTGTTCGAACTGTTCCTCGATGAATCGAACCACGGGCATCCAGCTAGGAAGGATTGGGGAATAGGCGAGAAGCAACTCAGGCTCTGGAGCAGAGGCACGGAAAGTAGGGGGCCTGGCAAGGCTGTGATGGGAATCTGGTGAATGCTCCCTCACCCCAGACTGAGCCTGCCAGACCAGCAAGTACAGGTGATCAAGCCCTGTACATACGTGTCAAACTCAGACTATGGCAGAGAGGAGCGAAGAGGAGGCCAGGGGAAGAAAACAGCTAGATGAGGGAGACCTGGAGCCAAGCTCAGAAGAATGAGGACCCTGAAGATGATAGTGAGCATTTATACAGCCGCTTTAAGGTTTACAGAGTGATTTACAAATATTACATCATTTGATCCTCACAACAACGGTGGGAGGGCAGAGCTATTATTATGCCCATTATATGGATTAGGCAACTGAGGCTAACAGATGTTAAGTGAATGGCTCAGAGACGCGCAGCTAGTAAGTGTAAGTGGCAGGAATCAAACTCATTGTTCTCTTTTTCCACAGAGTTCTGAAACAGAGGGGTAGGCACAAATGGAAACAAGGTTTGCCAGCAGCCAATGCTTCTGACTCTAGAACAGATCACCAAAATCTCTGTCACTGGAGAGCCTTGAGAATTGAAGAGGGCCCCCAAAGAAGGGTTAGGACAGATTAGGTTTGTCTTTACTGTTCCCTCCAGTAAAGTTCCAACATTGGAAGTGGTATGTGCACATGCATGTGTGGATCAAAGGAACTGAGCTTACTCTGAGCCCCCCTCCCCTGGATTTCCAGAGAATTGCTCTCTAACCCCTTCCCACCCACTGCACCAGGAGGTCCAGAGTAATGACACAACCCCTGGTGCTCCAGACCCAGAAGTCAAACAGGCTTCTTTCTGTAGCTGAACATGGGGGATCCTATTCCTGCCATCCCCATGCTCCCAAACCAGCTTGTATCCAGATCAGATGCCCAAAGGCTCCTGGTTGATAACTCTATCTTCCATTTGGGGATTCTAGGTCAGGAAAACCCAGGGGAGACAATGATAAAGGGAGAAAAGACTGACCCAAGCTCCCAAATCTCCTTTCCATGGCTTCCCTCCTGCCCCAGCCCCTACCCTTCTGCCCTTCATTCTCCTTCTTGCCCTGCCTCCTTCTGGTTACCATAAGCCACAGGTTAAGCTTTTTTATGTCCCCTACACCTTTGGCATTCTGGTGAAGCCCATGGACTTCTTCTCAGAATGATATTTTTAAATGCATAAAATAAAATAAAAGCTTGCAAAAGAAACCAATTATATTAAAATGAATACATGATTTTTGTCCCCATCCAAGTTCACAGACTCCCTGAAATCTGTCAGGATCTATGGATCCAAATCCCTAGCTCTAAGGACTGGAAAGCTTACTCTTATTCAGCTTCCTCTTCCTTTGAAATCTTTCCCCTCCTTGAGAGCCTGTGCTTGAGGCCCTTTCCCCTTCTCAGGCTGTCAAATCAAATCAGTCTAATTGGATTAACTGTTATTAATCACGTTCAATGTTGACTGTACCTGCTATGGGTCAGAGCCTTCTCCCCATGGCCCACGCTCTCTGTCCCCCAGTCTCACCAGTCTCCATTGTCCACTGCATCACCAAAACCTGGGGTGTCCACCAACGTGAGCTTCACTTTGATTCCTTCCTCTTCGATCTCCACACCCCTGCGCTCAATGGTCAGTGTCTGGCTCAGGCGAGCTGTACCAGGGCAGGACATTGATCGAAGGAAGATCCCACAAAGGAAAAGGGAAGGGAGTGGGTGTCAGGAAAGAAGGAAGACAGCAGCAGGAAAGTCCAAAGAGAGGAAAGGGACAATGACTTGGGAAGGTGAAAGATCTCTTGAAGGGAAGAGGAAAGGGTAAGGGAGAAGGAAACTGGGGATGGCCCGTGTCTCCAGCCTGAAGTATGACTGGATTTCTCAGTCTGTCTCCCACCCTAGCCTAACCAGTACAGGAAAACCAACCTGTGACCAGAGAGATGGAGAGCTTGATAAGGTAGGCAGAAGGATCAAGGAAGGAACCAGTGTGAGGGAGATTGAGAAGCCAGGGAGGGAGAAGAACATCACATCCCAGCCAGGGGCCCTTCACTCACCACTGGCATCAGGTATCAGTCGGTCCTTGTAAAGGTCGGTAAGGAAGAGGCTGTTGATAAGTGTTGACTTCCCCAGGCCTGACTCCCCTAATGGGATCAACCAGGCTGGTCAAAGACAGAGAAAAATGGACTGCCTCCCTACCCCTTGCCTGCTGGGCCTTACTTTTTTTGGGGGGGGACCTTATATTTCTTAAGAGAGTACTTTCCCACCCCCAGACTCCTCACCTGCCACCATGAGAGTGAAATCAAATCCTTTCTTCACGGATTTTCTGTGCAGCTGGCTGGGCAGGGCTGCGAAGCCCACATATTCTTTGTCCTGCAATGGGAAGAGGATGTAGGAGTAAGGAGGCTAGGGCTTGGGAGGAAAGAGGAGAAGGCTGCAGGAGGGAACAAAGACTGCATGGAGAGCACAGAGAGATAGAGAGAGAGGAAGACAGAGAGAGAGAGAGAGAGAGAGAGAGAGAGACAGACAGACAGAGACACAGAGAGAGTGAGAAGGTAGAGAAGAGGCTGTTGGGGAGAGATATGCTAGAGAGGGAGGCTAGTGGGAAGGTGAATGAAGGCTAGGGCCTGAGGACTGGGTGGGATAGTCATGTTCTACAACTCAAGGAATAGGGCTGTGAGTCCTATGAGATCTGAGGAGGGATACTGAAGATGCCGAGCTTCCCGAGAAGGGCTCACCATAGTCCTGGTGTCTTCTTGCTGCACCTGGTTCAGCTCCCCACTTCCTCTGCTAGGGGAGGAAGTTGACAGTGGCTTCAGCCAGGCTGTGCAGGAAGTGGTATGCCTATCTGGGAGGGAGAGGTGTAAGGGGGCTGGGGGGGAAGGGAGTGAGGGAAGAGTTCATACCTGTTCCTCGAGAAGAGGTGAGGGGGAAGGTGGATTGAGCTTTCTAGGAAAGTCCTGAGGCTCTTAGAGATCAAAGATGGGACCCTGAGTCCCACCCCTTGGGACTCAAGGACAAAAACTGGAGAGTCCACACCCTTTACAAACTTTTCCTGATTTTTATCCATCCTTTCTCCTCTATATACTTAAATTTCTTATCTTCCTTATTCCCATCAGCTTTTTGTAAGGGTGTTGAAGAGACACTTTTTATGGGGTGATGCCTTTTGGTGGGGAAAACGGAGAGAAGCTGGGGAAATATGCTATGCTTTCATCTGTCAGAATAGGACTGAGTAGAACCAAAGCTGACCATGAATAATAACTAAATGGAGTCCTAAGTGGTAGAGATAGAGTCAAGTATACAATAAGGAGGTAGAACCATTTGGATTCTGAAGAACCTTTTAATTCTCAGAGTATGAGCCTATAGACATAAAACTGGAGTACAGAGTTAGAGGGAGGAGGTGTGAATCCACTAGGACTCTCATTAGATGCTGATCCACACACTGGCTTATCTGGACTAAAGAGCAGGAAGTGTGGCATTCCTTTACGGATATCCCCTGTGGGAAAGTCATAGACACAGGCCCCAATCTCTTAGCTAGAACAGGCACCATAGAGGGGTATAGGAAGAAAGCAATAGGCTTGGAGTTGAGAGATATGGGCTGCACTCCTGGCTTTCTTACTAACTCCCAGTATGGCTTTAGGCAAGTCATTTACCTCCCCTCTCTAGACCTCATTTTTCTCCCTGTCAAATGGGGATAGAAGTAACTCACTGGAGTGTTTTAATGGTCAAATGAAATAATGGATTTGAAAATGCTTTTCAATGCTAAAAGCACCATGGGATATGGGATATTATTGTAACCCTTGTGTCTGAGACTTTCAGGACATGAAAGGCCTGGATTTTTTAATTTTCTTTGGAAATGGCTGCATGATACTCATCTTCACTTACTCCACATACAGTAATAATAACCTAAAAGAGAGTTGGTTACTTTTATATTTTTTAATATTTTATTTTTTAATTACATGTAAAAACAATCTTTAACATTCATTTTTTTAAAATTTTGAGTTCCAAATTCCCTCCCTTATTGAGAAGGCAAGCAATTTGATATAGGTTGTACATGTGCAATCATGTAAAATACATTTCCATATTAGTCTTGTTGTAAAACACAAATCAAGGGGAAAAACCCACAAAAAATAGTTTAAAAAAATGTGCTTTGATCTTCATTCAGACTCCATCAATTCTTTCTCTGGAGGTGGATAGTATTTTCCATCTTAAGTCCTTTGGAATTGTCTTAGATTACCGTATTGCTGAGAATAGCTAAGTCATTCATAGTTGATCATCATAAAATATTGCTGTTATAATGTACAATGTCCTCCTGGCTCTGCTTACTTCATTTTGTATCAGTTCATTTAACTCTTCCCATGTTTTTCTGAAACCATCCTATGCCTCATTTCTTATAGCACAATGATATTCCATCACAATCACATACCATAACTTGTTCAGCCATTCCCCTATTGATGACCATCTCCTCAATTTCCAATTCTTTGCCACCACGAAAAGACCTGCTATAAATATTTTGTGTATATAGGTGCTTTTCCTTTTTTTTTTTTAATCTCTTTAGGATCCAGACCTAGTAGTGGTATTGCTGGGTCAACGGGTATGCACAGTTTTATAGTCCTTTGGGCATAGTTCCAATTGTCCTCCAGAATGGTTGGATCAGTTCATAACTTCACCAACAGTGTTCAAATTTTTCCACATCCCCTACAGCATTTGTCATTTTCCTTTTCTCTCACATTAGCCAATCTGATAGGTATAAGATGGTATCTCAAAGCTGTTTTGATTCGCATTTCTCAAATCAATAGTGATTTAGAGCAGCACTTCTTAAACTGTGGGTTGTCATCCCATATGGGTAACTGCATGTGGGAGGTTGCGAAAAATTTGGCAACAGTAAAAGGTTTCTGAACACGCAATGACCAAAAATTAATTCAAAATCAAAGACGTAATGAATCCAATGTGATTCTGGCAGCACTTGCCCATGTTTCATTGCACAACTTCACTGCAGCCTTTGTTCTGAACACACTTCCCACTGCACATTCCATCACTCCACGTAGCACCAAAACACACTGCCAGAAATACCTTGGCTCAGATTTGAGCCTATTGTATGTTATGAGTTGCAGTGTTTTTACTGTACATATAAAATCATTAAATGAATTTTGGCTTAGGATTAGGACAGAATTTCCAACAATTTCTGAAATGGCACTAAACATACTTCTGCCATTTTGTACTATGTATTTATGCGAAGCGGTGTTCTCCACATTGATGATTATAAAATTAAATTATCAGTCAACTCTGAAAAAAGTTGAAGATGCTCTATATCCAGCAGTATCAAATATTTCACCAAGATTTAATTCTTTATGTAAAAATAAACAGGCACATCCCTCTCATTATTATGCTTTCCTCTTTAATAAAAATTATATGTATGCCAAAGAATTGTTTTAAAATAAATTTATTTGTGGTTTATTATCAATAAATGTTTGATTTGTATATCTATTTTAAATGCTTATATACCCTGGGTTGTGTAAAAAATTTTTTGGGCAAAAAGGGGTCCCAAGAGGAAAAAGTTTAAGAAGCCCTGATCTAGAGCATTTTTTCACATGATTATGGATAGCTTTGATTTCTTCATCTGAAAACTGCTTGTTCATATCCTTTTACCACTTATCAGTTGGGGAATGACTTATATTCTTATAAATTTGCCACAGTTCTCTATATATTTGAGAAATGAGGCCTTTATCAGAGAATTAGCTGTAAATTCTGTTCCTCCCCCCTCACCCCAGTTTTCAGTTTTCCGTCTAATCTAGGCTCCATTGGTTTTGTTTGTGCAAAAACCTTTTAATCTAATGTAATCAAAATCATCCATTTTACATCCTGTAATGCTCTCTATCTTTTGTTTGGTCACAAATTCTTCCCTTATCCATAGATCTGACAAATAAACTATTCCATGCTCCCTTAATTTACTTATGTTACCACCCTTTATGTCTGAATCATGTACTCATTTTGACCTTATCTTGGTACACAGTATGAGATGTTGGTCTATACCTAGTTTTCACCAAACTGTTTTCCATTTTCCCAGCGGTTTTTTGTCAGATAGTAAGTTCTTGTTCCAAAAGCTTGAATCTTTGGGTTTATCAAACACTAGATTATTATGGTCAATTAATATTGTGTATTGTGTACCTAATCTATTCCATTAATTCACCACTCTATTTCTTAACCAGTACTAGGTAAGGCCCCCTTCCTTCACTTCCCCCCCCCCCCCCCGCACTGATTCCTTTGGTAGTCAAGTTAATTACTTTTAAAGAAGAAAATCAATTAATCAATAAACAAACTCCTACCATGTGCTAAGCACTGGGAATATGCAGTATGTTCCAAAAGTCTTAGTGCAGTTTTAAGCTTTAATAAAATCAAAATATAAGTCCTAGAAACAAAAAAAAATTTGAAAGGGTAATTATGCAAATTTCAAAAAAAATTGATATATTTCTTATTAAAATTCAGCATAACCACTGCTCTATACTATATGTTGCTTACTCAGTTTTAGAACTCTGTAAAATTTTTCATCAGTTGCTGTTCAGTGAATGAAAGGATTTCATTTGTAATATCAGCCTTCAGATAATCCAAAGAACAAGATTCTGGTACATACACTATAGTTTTACGTTTACAATTTTATATAAGTTTATAGTTTATGACTATGGTCATAACTCCACAAGAAAAAAAAATCTAATAAAGGTAAATAAGGTGACCCAAAGTGGTCAAGCAAGACAACCCCCTCTACTGATCCACCAGTCTGAGGAAGTATCATCCAGAAACTGTCACATTCAAAATACAGAATGACACAAAGTCCTGCCCTGTCAAAATTCAAATAAAAAGTGTTATAATTCAAAATTCATGGAACTGAATAATAATATAAGGAGCTTATATTCTAATAAGGAAGAAAATAAGATAGATACTCTTAGAGGAGCAATTCTGAGTCCCAAAGATGTATGTAAATCCCCAAAATTATTAGAGTTCTGAACATAAGGACTCCTCTGACCCACACCAGGCTCCAGGTCTTTTGTTTTCCCATCGTTTTCCATCACTCAAAACAGGGCAGGGCAGCTTCTCTCTCAGTCTGTGTCTCTCTCTTTCTCTCTTTCTATCTCTCTCTGTCTCTCTGTCTGTCTGTCTCTCTTCTCTCTCTCTCTGTCTTTCTATGTCTCTCTCTCTCTGTCTCTCATTCTCTCTCTCTGTCTCTCATTCTCTTTCTCCTCTCTCTCTCCGTCTGTCTCTCTGTCTTTCTCTTTCTCTCTCTGTCTCTCTCTCTCTCTCTCCTTCATATTCGGGATGGTTCTTCCCAGCTCCCTCATCCATGCAGTTTTTCAATCAAGGTGAAGATCAGTCTTTAGGGTTCTCATATTCTTCAATTCTATCTCTCCCAAGCACGATGAGGACAAACTTTTAGCTCTCCTTTATATTTTCCTTTCCTCAGCTCTTCTTTTCTTCTTTTTTTTCTTCTTCTCCAGCCCCATAGTATACCTTTGGAAAAATACCATTTATTCTCTCCCTCTCTTGAATAGGGATCCTGGCACCGATTAATCAATTAATGTAAACAAACTATTTATTAAGCACCTATTATGTGCCAGGAATTTTGTTAGGCAATGGAGAGACAAAGACAAGAATAAAATAGATCCTGCCCCCAAGGAGTTTAAATATGAGGGAAAAAACATGTACATTTATGTCTAGGACCAAGAGACCACTTCACTGGGCCCGCAGGGAACATTCTCTGACCTATACCCAATCATTGTTAACCTTCACCCTGACATCCCAGGGACA